TTCGATGAAACATGTATCACAATCTCGAATAAACACTAGAAAGTATTTACATAATTAACTGCTTAAAAGATGTATCCAAACTAACGTTTTTATTTACACTAAAAGTTTCTGTGTTTTCGTCTTAAAAATTTGTTTACCTTCTCTCTGTTGTAGTTATGATTTATTGTCAGGGGTTTCTTATGAGAACTTGTCCTAACATGTATATATATGATTGTGCCATTTTTATCTCATCCATTTTTCTACCAACACTGTCGTGTTAATTAGAATGTTGTCTTCTTTAATAAGTTGTTCTAACTTGTTCGTTTGCGTATATGTATGGAATTCATAAAGTCTGAAAGCATTTGGTATAATATTGGTATATATATTGGTATAATATTTGTATCCATTCTTATCATCATAAAACAGCCAAATTACCCAAATAAACACAAGAACATGGAATCTTATGAAACTATTGGCTTTGTAGACAATTGGCTTGAAAAAATAATCTAACATTATTTTAATTATCAGTATGGGATTGTGGAGATTGTTGGGCTTTTGATTAAGATCATGAGTCGATCGATGTTAGACCACCCTTTAATTGTTTTAAATTTTCGCCAAAAAGTTTGGGTTGGTACCTTTTTCCTTAAGTTAAGTTTAGCTGTAACCAAAGTGCTTAGATTTGCTATTAAACCACTTATTTAAATATATTTTGTGGTTGGCGTTTTTAGTAATTAAAAGTTTTCATTTGTATACTATCCCACAATTTCTAAGATTTGAAGGCTTCATATAATGGACGCCGGTAGTTTCCTATTCATAGCTTATCTCCAGTACTAAAGAGTTGCATATGTGGCACTGTTATCTAAGGAGATTTTTGGCTCCATATGATTGTTAGTAAATACGAGGTGGAATATTGAGTGATAAAGTTGAAGTTCGATAATTATTGAATTTAAAGCCATCAGATTTGTCAAAGAATTAATTGTTTCCACAGTAGAACTCATCAAAGTAATTTGTGCAGCACCTTACTTGATAGTCATCATGAGATTCAAATGTCATAAGTTTTTGGGCGAATTAACGAATTTCTTGAAAAGGTTTACATTGGTTATTTATACCGAACGTAGCTACTACCTTTACGTGGTGGTCGAATTCGCTTATTTTGACGATTCAGTCGAGCTATATTAACTGGGATACGTTCCTTGATATTTTCGAGCGAAGTCATGTTGGTTACCATACTGTAGTGTGACGGTAGCAAGGTGTTTTCTACAGATATCCAGCAGCCCCAGTACTGCTGGCTTTTCATAACGCAAGGGTAGTTAAGATAGGTTGGGCTTAAAAGTTAGTTATATCTATCCCAAAGCATTTCTGGTGCTGTCCATTGGGTTTTAAAAGTATAGAGCTAGTAGACTCACAAATAGGTCCTTCCACAATTTTCCTCACTGTCTTTACTTAAAAGTTGCTAGCACTGACTTTGAACAAGTTTTACTGAGATTCTAAGGCCCATGTGAAATTTCTCCTATTTATTTTTTATTATTTGAACACATAAATATTGATACAGTCAGTCAGTTACAACGTAGGACCAGGCACATTTATGCATCGGTCCAGGTTGCCATACCTCATTAGCACAGCAAGATGAACACCGGATTCATAGGAGTGGTTAGGTTAAAGGAGGTAATATATAGGAGAAAGATTGCATATAAGGATGCAGTACCGGGATATAGAATTAGTTCGTAGAAAGAAAGATATGAAGTGATTTTAATCTCTTAGTTTAAGGGAAGATAGGGAGTGTATACACCGACGCCATTGTGATCGATTCTGAGCCCTGTCACTAAGAGTCACCAACCATTGGTTACGGAAGTCACGCGGACCCCAACCAAGTAGTCTGCATCTACCAACATGGCTCATACTAGAGGTTAGTGTCTTCAAGCACTGATGCCACGTTTTGGTTTGGCCGCCCCTAATTCTCTTCCAACCATCTCTAACACCGGTTAGCATTGCACGACGTGGTAATCGGTGTTCAGGCATACGTAACACGTGGCCCAACCATCTCAGTCGATGAAGATTCACAACCTTACCATCATCCCTAATACCCTGCGTCTAACCTCCCTATTACTTACCAGGTGATCCCAACAGACGCAGCAATATTTCTAAGGCATCTGTGGTCAAATACTAGTAGCTTACGGGTGATACAAGAATGCGCCAAATATATATGCGCCACACAAAACAATGAGCATTTAAGGAGAAAAAAAGAGAATAATGACGAAGAGATGGATGTAAGGTGGTGTAATAATAATAATGATAAAAAATGGGGGAACGGAAAGGTACAGTCAGAAGAAATCTTTCAGTTAAGGAAGACACAACCACTTTTTATGAAGAAAGTAAAACAACGTTACAGCAGGATCGCCACTGGCTTCTATTCTGAGCCATATCTGATAACATCTCTAGCCACTGTGTAGCACCATCTCTCGGACCTCAACCAGGGAGTCGTGAAGGACCTACACAAGCCAGCCCTTTGCAGCTTCGTTTCATACCACGACACCATGTCATGCACTGACCACCTCTCCGCTTTTTCCAACCAGTCCTAGAGTCGGCAAATAATGCACGACGTGGAATTCTCTGGAACGACATTCGTAGAACATGTCCAAGCCACCGAAGTCGGTGTTTCAAGATGGTGACACCAATTGCATTATCATCCCTGTGCCCGAACACACGATGCCGAACCTCTGCATTACTAACATGGTGTTGCCACTGGATGTCAGCAATCCTTCGGAGACAGCGATGATCGAACACAGAGAGTCGTCTAACGTCCTCAACTCAGCGAGGCCAGGTTTCACAAGCATAGAGAGAAACTGCTCTTACCGACGCGTTGTAGATCCGACCATTTACAGCCAGACTAACATCACGAAGGCACCAAAGATGGCCCAGATTGGCATAAGCCGCTCTGGCTTTCATTATACGTGAATCGGTCCCATCATTTACGCCACCACCAGCACCTATGCAGATCTACACCGCCATTACTTAAATCCATCAGAACTGTTTCCAGAATGTCATCGATGGCAAATTTGATGAGGAATGGTGAGATTCGGCAACCCTGTCTAACTCCACTGCTTGAATGGAACAATGGAGAGAGGTGGTTGTATACCCTCACTCTGCCTGAGGTGTTTGTATATAGGGCCTTTAGGATGTTAATAAACTTCTCAGGAAACTGAAGAAACTCAGTGCTTGTAAGCGGGACGTTTCGCGAACCCACAACTGACTTTACTCGCCATTTTCATGGCGTCATGGAGTTGCGACCAATGCTCATCTATACTTTTCGGTGGAATGGTAGCTAGCCTAGAAGCTAGCCCGGTTCGATACTTACTTGCAACAGAAGTTGCAACGAACTTGCTGACATCAATCCTTTGATGGCAGTCGCTTCGTTGCCCACTGAAAAGTAAGATAAGATGGGTGCAGACCAAGGATTGGTCAGAGTCCAGACAGGTACTCCAAAAGGAGCGGCAGTCTTTTACACAACCACGTCAGCGGTAGCTGATCGCGATGTGATCAATCTGAGTCCAGGCTTGAGATGCAGAAGGAGGACGCCAGGTGGCACATCGGCGATGACTGTGCCGAAAGTTAGCGTTAGTCAGAAACAGGTTGTGGTCTGTGCACAGTTGCAGTAGACGGTCCCCGTTATCTGTCCTGCAACCAACAAGTCCTCATCGGCCACCTAAACGACTCTCTTCTGTGCCTAGACGCCCGACCTGAGCATTCAAGTCTCTTGGCTAGTACTACAATATCCGTCGAGAGCATCTTCTGTTGAAGAACAGTTAACTGGTAGTAAAACTCATCCTTGATTGCATCCGGGCTGCAATCTGTCGGAGCATAGGCGGAGATGACGAAAAGACATCGTTTTTCACTCTGATTTCTTCTCACTTCGATGGAACTCTCTAGTCTGACAGCACATAACCGACTGTTAATGAGGATCCAATCGATTTCTCCTACCAGATTGTGTTTTTTATCCGACCACCCTGAGGCTTCTTGCCGGTAGCAACTTTTTCGTAGATTTCCACTTTTACATTCATAAACCTGAATATGATCGAGGATTTTTGATGATTCAGTGGGGACCAAGAAATGTATGGCACGAAACGAAATGCCAACGTTTTAAAAAGTAATAAAAATAAAACTAATAACGAGACCCCTAAATGCCCTGGTACGACCGAGAGTGGGAGAGTTCACTCTCATCGAAATGCTCTCACATGGCCACGTGCATGCAACCACTGCCAGGTATGTCTTACTCACTGCATTCTCGTGGCGGGGGTGTTGTTTACGAAATCGAGAGGATGAAAAGCTAATGTCCGGCGCTTTAACCCGGTTGGTAGACACGGAGAGTCCACCTAGGAGAGTTGGAAAACTCTGATTTCAAACCAATAGTGCACATGGGCTCCAGTATCCTGAAGGAGTAAATGGCGTATGAACCAAGTATTGGTCACCGGCTCCCATGGGACTGCATCTCCTTACGTTTCTCCACTGCCTTGTGGATCAGACCTTCAGGTCAAAGGCTCCGGGTGTTGCCTCTTAAAAAAACCACCTGATCCGGTTTGGGCACCTGTGCGGTATCATAGCCCTCACACATATCAAATGATATTTGTGTGGCGCATATGTATCTGGTGCCCCCTTGCACCAATATCTATGTGTTCAAATAAAACAAAAATTCAAATTTGTAGTAAAAAAGCTATCGTCAATAATTTCGGTTGTCTCACAAGAGTTACTGTTCTCGGTTCGTACATCAAATAATTTCATCTGAATTGCATTCCACTACGATTACGATTTAGTTATTCTTTCTGTAAAATGGGTTCGTTGTATTTCAGCCACATTTGTGAGTGAATTGCTTCCATTTAGTACTGAGGTATGGCTCACACCGGATCAGTTAGCTTCCCACTCCACAGAGTGCCACAAATATTTCCTAGTTTCTGTTTATTTCTGTAACTAGTATTTTGGGTTGATCTGTTAAACGTTTCGTCATTTAAATATTTTATTTTTCTTAGTTATGGTCTCGACAGTTCAATAATTTACGAGATATTCCGCTCGTCCAATTTGAGCACAGAAGCATTGTATCATATTTGGTCACTTACAAGCTGCACCCAACCTGGTTGGTTTACACCGACTGAGTTAGTGACTGCCTTAGCTTTAATCGGCCTGGCACAACGTAAGCAATGGGAATTCCAATCATGTTCTCTTTCCGAAACTATTACTATCCAATCACTTTACGGACAAATATGTCCACCTGTCCCTATGATACAAATCCCTAACTCCAGTAGGCCGCCTAATTCTACAGATACGATTTTTGGGTCGGAGTTAGTCACTCATGGAAATCCCCCAGCTAGTTTTCGAGATCCAGTAATCTCAGGATGTTCAAAGTTTCCCTTCCAACCTCCCGTCGTAGCCTTTCCTGCATTTTCCAACCGATTGGATAACGATTCTTGTTACCAGTCTATTCAGTCATCTACAGATTCCAGCACATTAAATAATTCTGTTTACAAGACATCAGATCCCTTCATGCATTTCGTTTCATCAGGAACCCTATCTATAAATGACCCTGAGTGGTCTGATTTTGCTTCTTTTAATACTTCCGTAAGTTATTTTTTATTTTTGTCATATCAACTGTCAATAAAATAAGATTAGTATTACTATCTAATTTCCAATTATTGGAAAAAGCTCAATTTAGTGCCTTGTCATGATGTTCACGATTTTATTATTTTCAGTTACATTTTAGACTGTTTAGATCTAATCTCAGTGTTTATTTAATTACTTGAAGTAAACAATTTGTTGGGCACTGAACCTCTTGATGACTGCGTATTTATTTTTAAGGATAGGTAGTTTTTAGGGTTTGGACTCAATTTTGAAACAATAAGACTTTCAGAAACAGAGACTCATCGCTTACTTCATGATTAGCCATATGATCATGCTTTTAAGAAAATTTCTGATTGCTTGATCAATTTTGGTAGTATAGTATACGTTCAACACTGAGCATTGTTGCCCTGTGTTAAGTTGGCATTTACCAATATATAGCAAAAAACTGTACTTCTTTTACCGCTTACTCTTATACTGTTGTCTTTGATGCCCATGTTCACCCATCCATTTCCGAAGATATTTGTAAATGAATAGTCTTATTACAACCAGTTGTGGGAGTTTTTATTAACTACGTTCTTTTTTTGTGTAGCGGATTATGATCTACGTGTATGGGTGTTCTAAATATGATAGAAAGAGCAGGTTTTAGATCGATAAAGACCCATGACTTGTAAAAAAAACCCACTGTTTTACTAAACTTGGCATTCGACCTTACTACTTCTAATCCTGTAACTTTGTTAATCATGTAAACTTTTTGAAAAGTATCGGTCATCATATATTTTTGATCTGCTTGCTGACTTTTTGTTTTCAGGTTAAGCAATCAGAGCATAATAGTAATAATATCCCGGAAGTCTCTACAGAAGTTGGTATTAATGGTCAGAAAAAGTCAGTCACGAGGCAAGTAATATGTTTAGATTTTAACCACTTCTGTTTTATTTGTTAATATCTGGTTTTACTTTTGATATCTGTTCATACTTATAATCACATATTGTTTATGTTACCGACTTTTAATAAGTCCTTTAGTAGGTATCATGTCTTATGTAATATATCGATTTCAAATTTGTTGCCTGTCGAAAACTATCCATATTCATCAAACCACTCTTCGACATTCCTAACTCAGTTTGATAACTTAAAACTATCCGTGTGAAACCGGACTAACTTTTATGACTATGGTGTTATTGGATAAACTACCGTATTTTCATGTTTTGTTACTTCATTTCAACATCACTAGTTTCAAACGTAATTTTCACTAATAATATAAGTGGTTTTTCTTTAAATACTTATATATTCACGGTGTGATAATCGACTACTCCTGTATGATCTGGATGCAAGTGAAAATATTATTGTCTCCGCAGTTATCTAACTAATATTAACCCGTCTGTACTTAAATATGTTTCATCTTATCTTAGTGCCTAATGGCCGAAAGACAGGACAGGATCTACTGTGGTCTGTAGTGGTTGATGTATAAATATTAGGGTAATTTGTCAACAGCATATATGATGTACATAGTCAAATACCAACTGATCTTTTCGTGTCTGTGAGACTACTTTTTCAAGTCTGATCCAGTTCATGTCGATAAACCAGAATTTTAAGAAAATTTTCTTGGATTAATTCTATTGTAGTTATTAGTTTTTGTATGATACCTGTTTGTTTGTTATTTCTAGCCTAATCTTGAAGATGCTTTTTCCCCTTCATTATTTGATTGTCAATGATGCTTAAAAATTTATATCTTCAAATTGGTTTTATTTCTAATTACTTCTTTTTTAGCTCTCACATCTCTCTATTTGATGAAGAGTTTGGAAATTTTCAAACTAGTTATTCCGTTAATGTATCAAAACCGACTGAAATTCTTGATAAGCTTCCTCATTCGAATTCACTAACTACAGCGAATAATAATAATCTGTTAAAATTACCAATACAGAAAAGTGCTTATAATGATGTACAGGTTAGAAATATTATATAAAAATGCTTATCTTTTTATTTTTAAATAAACAAACAATTTCTCACTTTGTCTGCATAATCTTCCCTGAATAATAATAAAACAAAAACTACTCGAAGTGTTTGACAAAATATAGGTTTTACCTTCATACATCCGTGCAGAATACCAAGCTTTATCGAATTCATCAGTTTTTAATGTTATTTTACATGGAGGTGACTAAAAAGAATAGTGAAATACTGAATAATTGTAAAGTGTACGATGATGTGCACTTCAAGATTTAAGTCTGTTCAATATAAAAATAATCAACCATTTAAACCATTTCAATAACATTCATTGAAACTTTCTGTTCACAAAAAATATTGATGCTTGAATGCATATAAGATTATATTTCCACTAAAAAAAACAACTGTGCTTCGTTTTTTACTCATTTATTAAATTTGTAATGAATTCTCTTGATTTCAGAATAAAATGAATTCTTCAGAATCTTTATACGAACAATGGCTTCATTGTTTGACTGATTGCTTGAAAGTATTCAATGATTCATTGTTAGTTTTATCTTCTCTTAAAAGTATGGAAGATCAATTTGAATTTGCAGAAAGTGAAGAAGGATGTAATTTCTTATTGGGTATGTCTTCATTAAATGTATTTTAAGATGAAATAATTCATCCTTTAACAATATTTATTTCAATTGTAATGTTTTAATCCAACTTGTCTTCAGGATTGATTTGCTTCTTATCATTGAAAACGAAGTGAAAATTTTTCGAACAACATGCAGATCTTAGTAAATTTTTAAGATAATTTATGGATACAAATCAATGATAACTACTACTGGAAAATTACTCTTGCTTCGACTCTCATTCACACAAATCATATTCACAATCATATGATAACATTCGTTTTAATTTTTTTATTATACCACGTTATTTATTCTCATTTTGCGTAGTTTATTTTTCAATATATGCAGCAGCTCGCCTCTGGGGGAAAATCTGTCCTATTTAAACGATCTGAAGTCACTGACTGGTCGAAAGTTGAATGCTACCATCAACTACGAATACTGAAACAGTCTTTCTGAAACCACGTATAACTTTCGAACTAACCTCCTTCAATGTTCGAACACTAATACAGAACGGACAACAGATAGGGTTAGCTATGTCTTAAGAAAGTCTTAACATTGATATTTGTTGTCTTTCCGAGACGCGTGCTCAAGACTAATGAAGTCCTACAAATTCCCTCGCCATCTGTCACTTCGAAAACCTTGTTTCACGTGCGTTTGTCCGGGCGCTGTGGCATCTCCATCCAGTTTAGTTGGCGTTGGTGTCGCACTAAGCGCTAGAGCTGAGGCAGCACTGATCGATTGGATCCCCATTAACAGTCGGTTATGTGCTGTTAGATTAGAAAGTTCCATCAAAGTAAGAAAAAAATAGGTGTGAGGGACGATGTCTTTTCATCATTTCCACCTACACTCTGACAGATTGCAGCCCACATGAAACCAAGGATGAGTTTTACTGCCAGTTAACTGTTCTTCAACAGAAGATGCTCTCGACGGATATTTTAGTACTAGCCAAGAGACTTGAATGCTCAGGTCGGGCGTTTAGACACAGAACAGAGTTGTTTAGGTTGTCGATGGGGACTTGATGGTTACATGTCAGATAACGGTCACTGTTTATTGCAAATTTGCGCAGACTACGACCTGTTTCTGACTAACACTAACTTTCAGCACAGTCGTCCTTGATGTTCTACCTGGCGTCTTCCCATCACATCGCGTTCAACTACCGCTGTCGTGGTTGTGTACAAGACTGCCGCTCCTTTTGAAGTACCTATCTGGACTCCGATCATGTCCTTGTTTGCACTAATCTTACCTTACATTTCAGTGGCCAACAAATCCATCGTCCTAAACAGATCGATGTCGGCAAATTGTTTGCAGCTCCTGTTGCAACAAAATATCAAACCGAGCTAAGTTTAAGGCTAGCTATCAACCAACCGAAAAGTATAGATAAGCGTTGGCTGATATACTTCATAGATTGTTCAAAACCCGAGAAAGGTTGATTCGAGAGGAGCAGGTTGGTGTTCGTTCCGGTCGAGGATGTATTGGTCATGTCTTCACCCTCCGCCAAATGTTAGAACACCGTCAGATTTATTACACAGGCTAACAATCGTAATTTTTCTTGACATAATTGTCGCCTTCGATTTGTCGGACAGGATTGTTATCTGTGATTGTCTATTGGAGAAAGGTGTGTCTGAGAAGTTTTTTCACATCTTGAAAGCTCCATATACTAACACTTTAGATAGAGTAAGGGCATACAACCATATCTATTAATCCATTAAAGGAGTGGGATCAGGTAGGGCTGCCTAATCGCACCATTCTTCTTCAACTCTGAAATCGACGACGTTCTGGAAACCGCTTTTATATATGTAGGTAATGGTGGTGTAGATCCGTTACCTGAAGAAAGACTTTCCGATCCTGAGCATGCGGATTATATTGTCTTACTGTGCGATGATACCCAAGCCATGCAATCCACATTTAATCAGTTGGTAGTCAGTGTCCGTAGGCATGGCACGTGCCTTACACCTTCCAAGTATAAAGTACTTCTATATGAATGGTAGAACCTGAACCCAAACCCACCCTGGGTAGTGAGCAAATAGTAGTTAAGATGTTCGTGTATCTGAGTAGCTGAGTTAGTGCTGGTGGTGGCGTGAAAGACTAGATCAGTTCACCTATAGTGTAGGCCGGAGCGGCTTATACCAATCTGGACCGTCTTTGGCGCTTTCGTGATGTTAATCCTGCTGCAAGAGGTCGGATCTACAACATGTCGAGAGTAGTTTTCCTCTGTTCCTGTGAAACTTGGCTTCACCAAGTTGATTATGTTAGACGACTCTGTGTTTGGTCACCGTTGTCTCCCAAGGATTGTTGACATCCAGTGATAACATCATGTTAGTAATGAACAGGATCAGCACCGTGTGTTCGCGCACAGCTATGATAATTCAGTTGATGTCACTATCTTGAAACATTGTGCATTATTTGCCGACGTTAGGACCGGTTAGAAAAGGTGGAGAAGTGGTCAGTGCATGACATGGTGTCGTAGTGTGGAAGAAAGCTGTACAGGTCAGGCTTCTGGTCCTTCACGACTCCTTGGTTGGGGTCCTAGAGATGGTGTAATATAGTGTCCAGAGACTTTATCAGACATGGCTCAGAATAGAAGCCAGTGGCGATAAATAGATAAATTTTGAATTCGACAAAAGTTACCATCCAAAGCTCCGCATCGGATTGCTTCCAGGACCTTCATTATTACGGAACTACAAATTTGATATCAACTTTTAAAAATGTGACTGCAGATACAACGTGGAAATTTAAAATTTATCTTTTTTCAACAGTATACCCAGTTTGTACTACCTCTCGATAGGATACTGGAACAGTACGCTATACAAAAACTAGGTCACCTTATATGAGATGCTAAGTTCAGGACCAGAAACAGAAAAGCAGAATACAATACGTTATTCCATACAATTATAACCGGTCACTCTCAGTGAGTCAGTAGAAATTGATGAGGAAAGGAAACCACATTTTAATCAGTATGCTGAGTGTCTGTTTCTCCGCGCTCGGTGGCCGATCACATTTACCTTATTATTATTATTATTATTATCATCAGCTTTATTCAATATTATATTTTTGGTACAATATAGAATTCTCAGCGTAAAGTATTTCAACAAGTTTCCGTTTCTTTCTTCTTGGTCGGTCCTGGCGATAAATATCGAGTGGTCGCCAGTTAGATGTTAGCAGTTCAGTAAATGAACATCCCAATAATGTGCATTCTTTTCGTTGTATATTGCCAGCAACCACATTGTCTCTTATTGAGTTTTTTTTGTAACTTTGACAACGAAGGGTTGTATACTTTTCAGAAACGCAGCAGAATAGGTTATGCGATTAATAAACATAGTGATATATTAAAACAAACAAAAATAGATAACTTGTTGAAATATCTAGGTGGCAGGAACAGGTAGCCCAGATGCTCAAGCAGGCCGCACTTTCACTTTCACACGTCAACTTTGCATAAACATGTCAAAGTAATTAGAAATTGAAATCAATTAAGAGGTGAATTTCGTATATTTATTAAAAGAAAGACAACTGGTTTTACCCATTGATTTATAAATTTAATAAAATGACAATTAACTGCATCCTGATTTACTTAAAGTTCTCATTCAGTCTCTACTGGGATTGTGTATGTTGTCCGTTGAGGAGTCTCACATTGAGACGAAATAGTTGTTCAATTTAAGGTTTTCAGCGATTCTATAACTATGACCAGTCACTGATGTAAAAGTGCAAAATTACTCGAATTTGCAAAACTCCATAAATTCGAATATATCATTTTTAATATAAACATTTTCACCCAGTTCTTATTTATTATGAAGTTGCTAAATTAAATATCAGTTGTGTTGTAATGTATGCTAACAAATATAATTAGTATATATCACTAATAGGAAGTGGGATGTCTGCGAGCAGAAGATTGGGAAGACCGACATGAGGAGAAGAGAGAAAACTGAAAGTAATCAAGATAACAAAAAGAATGAGGTTTTTAAGAAACAATTCAAAGATGTGCAAATGATGTATTTAATGTGTGATTTTCACATTTTACTAAACCACTGTGTGATTTCGCATTGGACAATAAATTCTTCTTCGCCACCTGAGCTTTCCGTTCACCACAGTAATACTTATAATAAAATGGAGTTTGAATTTACATTTTACCCGGAAAATGTAAAACGTGTAACTCAAGTGACTTGGTTATCTGAGTATACACGAACAATGACATCGTAGAAACTGAACGCTAAATAGTTTAATTGTTTTATTTGTATGGAAAAGTCATCAATTTGATGTAATAAAAAAGGATATTCCAAAATCAAACCTATATGAGAGTTAAACAGTCTGAACTTATCCGCTATGTTTTCATTGTTCACTAAGCGTATCGTACCTGATACTTTGGGTCATTTTTCTGTTTATTTGGAAGTCTAACATTTCCTGTATTTGTATTTTTCGTCCGGCGTTTAGAGATGCATTACACCGAAGATATTAATAGAAGACATTTACGGACTAATTCGGCCACTGAAAATAAATCCTTTGATGAAGATTTCAATTACATAGAACATGCTCTTTAAACACACGAAATAATGACCGAAAGTTCTTATTACCACAGTGTTAGTGAACACAGAACATTATCGATGACCACAAACGTTATATAAGTTTTCGTCATATCGTATTAGTTATGTCATGCGAGTCATCTAAAATTTCTTTGAATTGGCATATTCAGATTTCAAATTAAAGTAACTTTTTGAAGCCCTTTTACTTTAGTTAACCAAAAATCATATATGTTATTTCGTTTTATTGCAGATGCCACTGAGATTTATTTGATGACGAGACGAATTAGCATTTCAGCCAAGAATTACAGTAAGTAGTTATGCTTCTTAAAAAATCCACTTTCTTATTTCATTAGCATTATCGGTTTAAGTTTTAGATTCTTGTTACCACGTTTCAATCGTTAAGTTAAATAAATCCTAATCGTTTGATTTTATGAATAAAAGTAATGTCGCTGAATAATAACTTTACAAAGCTAGATTTTACGGCTTATCTCAGATTGATCGTAATTAAACAACTATTAAAACATTCATTATATATATATATATATATATATATATATATATATATATATATATATATATATATATATATATTATTGTTCCAATACCTATCTTTTAATTTACATTTAGATGTAATTGATTCATCTATGCATCAACTGTTTTCGGATATTGAAAATTCATTTCGTAAATTATCATCGTATGCTGTTGTAACTGATCTAAAGGTATTTTTAAAACATTTGTTATTTTTGATTATTTGCATGTCGATCTGAAACAAACTTCTCTATTATAGTGTATAACTCGACTAAATGGAATCGTCCTTGGGTGAGTCCATCAATGGGTTGCAAACATATATTGGTTTGCGTCCTGCTTGAATTTACGTTGTGTGTGAGGGAGTGTGTGGGAAAATCTGAAACAGAAAGGAACTGACGACTCAGCATACAGAATGCACTTACATTCAGTGATGGAAGTAATCGACAGATATTTGCAATAACATAAATGTAAGATCAAGACAATCTGAAGATTGAAGCTGGGAGTTAGTAGAATAAAATTTCGAATGCGTTGTAATAATACTCTTTAAAGTAACTTTTCATCTCGGATCTCACTGTAGAATCATATATTTCATAGATTATGATTCAATAATTCTTCGTTGGTAATACTTCTGTTAGTGTAAATAAACATTTTTGATCACCACTTTTAAAGATCGACCATATACCTGCGTCGAAAATATGAGCTCTTAATGTTTGTAAAAGATCATTTTTGCTTGAAAATTTTTTTACTAACCATTGTTGTTTCTGACAGAAATTCAAAAAACATAAATAACGAATGAATTTACTTTCTGTTGAGTTTGCATAAATTTATAACGAACTCTTTAGTAGATATTCCGTATATAATATCGATTTTCCCTATAATCTGTCTACTAATATGCAGTTACAATACTTCCTATTGATATCCTTTGTCTATCTAATGATAGAAACCTCAATTCGGCATTTTTGGTGAACCTTATCCATTACAGGACTCAATGTGCTTGGTTACCTGTTTTTTTAAACAGGGACAACAAAATAATAATTTGGATAGTGTAATGAGAAGATGTCTTCATATTACGCTACCAACACTTATCAAAGGAACTAGTTGCTGTAAAACAATAATTGCTATTTCTAATGATCTGTGAGAGTTTCTAAAGTATCGTCACAGGCCCTGAGTATTTGTCGAAAATTTCGGGATATCATCTAGGGTTAGCCAATAAAAATATGAGTTTTAAAGCACTGAATTCAAATTAGTGTATACAGCTTAATGAATAAATATGTAAATTTTAAAATCTTCCTTGATTGGTACTGGTCATATTTGGGGAAAAAATCCATTTCCCAGTAGTCATTTTTTATGTGTTTTTTTAACTTTACTATTTATTGAAAAGTTATTTAAACTTCATTTTTACTTGTAATGAACTTCCTTGGATTTCAGAATAAAATTGGTCAGGCTTTTAATTTTGTTTCAACATCAGAAAATGAATTCGTTATTCAAGACTTTATTAATTCGACCACGTTCTCATATTGCGGAGTTTGTCTTTCATCGATCAACCTGACTAATGACCAGTGTGTTAATAATCATTGCAATGAATCATCCAGTTTTTCTCAACACCAACAAACTAACTATCATTTAGTTTATATTAATCTAGCTGGTCGTTGCTATCATATATCATGTGCTAATTTCTGGATGAATCGTATCAATCCGTGTCTACCCGCTCTTAAAATCCCATTGTAATCGTTGTGATGTAATATCGAATTCGTTTCGTTTCCTGTTATAATCAAATATTTTGTGATTACTCTATATATATTTTGTATATTTATGAAGCATTTCATGTAGTTCATCTCATTTTTGTCCACTGATTTTGGTTTGTATCATTATAAGCTCCATATTTTCTTCCGTCTGTATTCATCTATGATCCCAATTTGTTGCTGTTATGATGTTTTTACTTATTAATCTATCTGTGTATTAATTCTATTTACTGTGATGCAATAAAATGCTATTTTATTTTTAACCGACAAAGAGATTTTTCAATGCTTTATGACTGATTTAACAATGCTTGATGATAATGTTTTGTTCTTTACATATGATTGTCTGTGTTTTAAAAACATCACGACTTAAGTCACATGAGCGTTTGCTTCTAAATTTAACACTATTGTTATATATATAACTGTGAACAGTTTTTATGATTAGATCTGTCAAATTAGCGTTATTCTAATCTACTAATACTCGGATGATTACGGTTACAGCTAAGTGGCATTAAAAGAAAACTGAACAAAATATGGTCGGGTTTTTTTATCAATTCATGTTATTCAGAATCTGTTTAATTTGAGCTAAACTATTGCGGATCTTAAAAATCTTTTAGAATGCAACAAGAAAATTAATTTTATGTGCAGAAAATGATTCACTCACCGAAGATTCTAATGGAACTGGCTAATTATAGGACATTTGGTCCAATATCGGGTAAATGATTCTACTGCTACTAGTTCAGAAACATGTGTTTGTTCGTAGAAATTTTTATATAACGTTAATCACTCCATTTTACTCAGATACAAATTGTGTTTTGTTAAACGTGAATGATTGTTAACTTTAATCATTTTAGTTACTACTTACTTTTCTACTTTTTATGTATTCTTTTTTATTTTAGGTGGATTTTTATTAGTCACTTTATGTTATGAATAGTTCTGTATCATCAGATATATCAGATCAACATGGTGAAGAAATACTCAATTCTGGTGAAAATAATTTAGATTGGCGTTTGAAAGCCTGTGAATTGTTGGAGCAACATATTGAGGAAATAAAGTTGAATAATACCAACTTAGTACTTGAATCGTGTGTACTAGCATCGTGTTTAAGAGATCTTCTGGTGGAAGTTGAATCACTTAAAACATCTTCCGTTGTTAATTCACTTGATGATGAGAAAATCGTGGAATATTTGTTACACTATCAATCTGTTATCTCATTTGATGAATTAGTTGATGGTAATTTATTGTCTTTTACAGAAGCCAAATATTCAACTAAAGAGTCTAATAATTTGTCACATTGTACAAATTCAAAGAATTCTTCTTTAGGTATGCATGAAATTCGAGTAGTTCAAGATAATGCGAAACAAACATGTGAAAATGTATCTAGTGTTTCAAATATTCATGCTAATGATAATCGACCATCTCTTTATAAGCGTTCTTCTGCCGGACATATAGATGAAGAAAATATTGATTGTGACGATCCTGAATTAATACGTTCTGCGTTTAGACTATTTGCAAAGCATATTGGTCCATCTTTAAAACGCGAACATCGTACAGCATTCAATGCTCCACCAACTCAAGATTGGTTAGCTGAACAACTATTATCTAGATGGGATGAGTTAAGTGCATCTGAAAAGTTCACATGGCGCAAACGTGTTAAATCCACCTAATTATTTGTATATATCAAGGTGTTGTCGAATAATGACTTTCTGTAGTAAACTGATTTGTATAGTAAAATGAGACTATCTTATGTATATATTCGGAATAACTTTATTTTGATATGTTTTTTCAGATAATAAAATTATTCTATTAATCTGTATCTCTTTACACCTCAGTTGTGAATGTTTGCTTCTTGTCAGTTATACTGTTGTAATATAAAGAAATTTGTCCATTTTATAAATTTCTACAGAGCAATAAGGCGGAGTCGATGTGAAAAATATAATGTATTTGCGCTATTCATTTCAAATAATCTAGTCATACGTATATTTGTCAAGACATTTTATATGAAAATTAATATAGGTCAATTAAATGAAGATTCAGCAAACGAAGTGATAATTGTTCGATTATTCCTCCCTATGTATTTGTGTCCACACAAACATGACGTGATCATACATTTCATACCTAGACATATGTGGAGTTATTGGCTTAGTACTTCCAATCACAACCAGTTTAGGAGTTTGATATGGTTTTCTCAATTGGTACTTCTAGTCTCTGTCCTAAAATCATACTGCTTGATCCACTACTATACGGTAGAGAGGAATAAACAGTTTTCTTCCGAACATAATTAAAGAGAGGTTTTAGTGTTGACTGAATTTTGCATCTATTTGCAGACATTAGTGGATAACCGTTTGACATCAGTGTGTCAGGTTGCAGTTTCGCATCTTCTTCAAATGTATCTGTAGTGCATATTCTTTTGAGTCTTGTTGAAAAGGCACTTTATCAAGCCATAATTGTGTTGCGATGGACAGAAAAGAAAAATTTGGATATTGCTCAGTTCAGGTTGGCTTCCTACAAACTGACCAAAACTATATCTAAAAAATGGTAATCGATTATTACTTTTTCATTGGTCATTACGATATCATTCTGTACGCTATTGAGTTTATGCAATAACTAAGCAGCAACGAAGACTTTACCACATATGACTAATATATCATCCATGTATCTCCTATAAAAAGTTACTTCGTGGATGAGCTCACTCGTCATAGTTTCAACATATGACATACATATATCAGCTAAGGGAGGTCTTAAAGGTCTACCCATAGCAAAACCATCAACTTGTCGAAAATTTTCGCCTTCAAATGTGAATTGAAATTTTGCAATACACAATAAAAGTAGTTCTTTCAATAGTGTTGAGCGAATAAGAAAAAGGTGGAAATTACTCGATATACGGTCACAAAGAAAATCAACAGTCTTGGCTAAAGTTACATTTGTAAAAAGAGAGTTTGCATCAGAAGAATGCACAGTCTTTTCTTTAATATTAGTGTCATCAAGAAGATCAGTTATTTCAAATATGTCTTCCAAGGAACCTTTATTTAATTGACTATTATTAATTTTTGTATAAAATGCCTTGGGAGGTATATGTGACCAGATTGTTTGAAATGTATAGCGCAAATACATCACATTTGTCCCATCAATTCCGTCTTCTCATAATTCCATTGAAATACTTTACAATGCTTGGATGTGCTACATGATCTTTGTTTTTAAAATGAAGCAACCTCTTTTGGAACTAAACGTTCCTGCCACTTAAACGTTTTGTAACAGTAAATGAATTTGACAACATTGGTGGTTGAATTAGGATGAAGAAAACAAAATTGATCAACTAGCTGAAACAATAAAATGTGTCACAATACTGCTTTGAAACATACGCTTTTTGTAGCACAGTTGTTCATGCTTTAAAAACTGATTAAATACATATATATCTCACATTTCCAATTTCCATTATCAACTATGCCGTAAATTTAATGAACAATGGAGTTTGTTATATATTATTGCTCGCTGAGCAATATATATCTACTCTAGACATATTCAGTGCTTTACGTTCTGTATTGCTTGATTTCTCACTGTGCAAAATTATCTTTTGAAGATAGTTGGCAACTTCTCCTATTCTCATGTAGCTGTTTGCCAATATAGTTTCTCATTAATATATCTTACAGCTGTGTGAAAGGTGTTTGGTCTAATTGTTTATTCTGTTCTATTTTAACAATATAATTCTTCTTAGCTAGATGACTTTCATATGAACCTAATAATCACTTTAAGCGTAAGAATCAATTATACACTGAATAGTGTCGGAAAGATTATTGTTCCAGTAACGGTAGAATATGTACTGGATTATTAATTATGTTTAACACAATATTATTCAATGTGATGCCTATTAAACCTACTGCATATTTGTTGTGCTTTACGAGAAAATGGTAAGCTCCTGATTTCAAAGTCAATGTGATGCATATATATGTCTTCAAGTTACTGATTCATTTGAGTTGCTATCCATATTGCACTTCCATATTTACCTGATAGTTGAAAACGGTACTATTTGTTAACTCTTTTCATCTTTTTAATATAATACACACTAACACAAAATTTATAGGAAACTAAATATAAACGATCTGCAACAACCTGTTGACTGGTTTGTGGGTTTTAAGCTTCTTGATGCCAGCCAGCATTAAGTTTAATTGATAGACATATTTCGGCCACTATTGTGAACTATGTAGTATGATATTAGGTAATCTAATGACAGATTGAGCTTTAAACATTAAGTTTCAACTTTATTTTTAGGTTATTTTGTTTTCTAGAAAACTTTCAAAGTGTCAACTTCTTTCTGGAAAAAAGGCAGTTTAATTTAATTCTCTTTAATTTTCTTCCCTATACCCTGAATTCATTACCTTAGGTTATGTTTTATTTATAATATTTTTTTAGATTACTGCTACATGTGTGATAATACTTCATATGATAGAGCGATTTTTTCGTAGTTATTTAGTTGTTTGAATGCACCACAATGACTGCCGTATTAATTGTGAATTCCTAGGCATTGTAACATTAACTCAGAAAACGTAAATATATGTCTTAAATACTCATCATTTAAATTGATGGGATACAAAGAAAACAGAAAATTATGTAGTATTTGTTATTCGAACCATAGTTTCTGTTTTGGTAGATATGTATTAAAGGCTAAAAAGCATAAATATTACATATAAAAAGGAAACTTAGAATGTTTGTGTTACATACTCTATAAATGCTAAGTCGCCTTTGTCTTTACGAGCATAAACGACAGGAAGACCACTTAGTCGTTGCTACTACTCAAAGCAGTTGACACTAATCTAAAGATTTATCTTTTAGGTAACGTTCTTTTTACAATAAGGACGTGACAATAGATTTGTTTGACTGTCGAACATTCAAATCCGTTTAACTATTACACAAAGTGATTTTCCCTCCTTCATATTGTCTAACACTCCTGACATTAAATAGATTTAAACTGGTTGTTCTCTAAAATATGTTGACTGTGAAAGTTTCATTGCAAGAAATTCATGATATACATATCCCTCTATAAAAATACTCACTTTACTTGTGTAGTATATATTAATTTTTTTTAATTATTTAAATCGTATTGTATAACAATAGAGTTGGAAAGATGGTTGAACAACATGATAACTATCTGAAACAATTGGGTATTAACATGAATAACTTAGAAAAAGAAATGGATTCAGCTATTGCTAAAGAATCTAGATATTGGCTTGAAAATGATGCAAAAATTAGAGCTGTTCAACAAGGAGTTCCAACATATGATGATTTTAGGTTAGTAACAAAAAGTAGATTTTTATGTATGCATTGATAATATGACTTTTTCCTCACATTTCTTTCATTATTTGTCCGATCTAAATTACATTTTCTTTTCGTCATTAGTTTTACGATGCCTGATTGTTGTAAGTTTTTCTAGATATGGACACATCAGAATTTCTTTAGTTACTATAGTTAACAGAATATTAAATAAATATAAACCCATGTTGTGGTCAATCAAATATCTACTTGAAAATGAAAATATTATTGCTCTGGCTGAATTATTTTTGATGAAATAAAACCGTAACATTAAAAAATCCATTACGGGTATGATACCGTATAAGTTATTGAATAACGGTTGATTATTGATTGAAAATGAAATCAAAAGTAAGCGATAAATGAAGATGAACTCTCTATCACGTTAATTGAAATACGAAATATTTTGTGAAAACAAATAATGCTTTACTGGTCATCAAACTTTATTAATATATATATTCACAATTGAGTTAGACAACCATTGAAAAGCCTAAAAGCACTGAATAGTTATGTCACTGTATTTACTAATTCAGATGTATATGGGAATACACCCAAGAAGTAATAATTACGTTGCGTAATTTTTTGTGTGTAAACACACACCTAAAACCCATCGGAAAATTTGAAACTCAGACTCGTTAATTTTTGATGGTGGACAAACTTGGTATGTAATAGAAGTGAGTAATGGTTTATTGAATCAATCTACTGTAGTCTTAAAAAAAATTTAATCCCACTATTTATCTAGAAACAGTTTCTTGCCCCCATCTAATGTCAAAGTATCATAAAAGAAGGCTAGTGACAATCAAATAAACATATGTCAGGCAGTAAAGTCACTAATTGTTAAACTGAAATCACGTCCAGTTGTTCAGGCTTCTTGATTTGTGTACTAGGGATAATTGTGATTAATTTTTCGGACCAGCTTTTTAAATACGAGGTTAAACTTCATCGTTCTTATAAATCGACTTTGAGGACGACAATAAACTTTTTGCATTTTTAGCACATATTTAAGAGAATTCCGGTAATGTTATTGAGAATTTTTTTAAACGATATGTACTGAACGAGAACATAAATGGGGACAGTTGCATGTGTTTAAATACGAAATTACAGAACATCTTATTAAAATCTGAGAACCATACAGTAAATAATTTACTTGCAAAATATCAGTCAATAGTCTCAGACTTCATTGTTCTTTCGTTTCCACACCAATCATTCTCTGTTCTCGTTCTCTTTTCTTTGATCCTCTTAACCCTCTACCACCAGGTGTTTCACTTTTGATTGATGATACATACTACTTATATCTGTCGACATCGGTAGCACACACCACAGATGTACTTAAGCTTGACAATAATAGTAATGACAATAATAGTAATAATAATAATAACAATAATAATAATGGTCAACAGATAGGGCTGGATATATCTTTGGAAAGTCTTCATATCGATGTCTGCTGTCTATCCGAGACCCATATTCAAGAATCTGGTGAAGTACTACAAATTCGCTCTACATCTGTCACTTCAAAAAGCTTGTTTTACGTGCGCTTATCCGGGGACCTTGTGGCATCTTCGTCTGGTCTTGCTGGCGTTGGTGTCGCACTAAGCGCTTGAGCTGAGGCAGCACTAGTCGATTGGATCCCCATTATCAGTCGGTTATGTGCCGTTAGATTAGAAAGCTCCATCAAAGTGAGAAGAAATCGGCGTGAGAAACGATGTCTTTTCGTCATCTCCGCCTATGCTCCGACAGATTGCAGCCCGGATGCAATCAAGGATGAGTTTTACTACCAGTTAACTGTTCTTTAACAGAAGATGCTCTCGACGGATATTGTAGTACTAGCCAAGAGACTTGAATGCTCAGGTCGGGCGTCTAGGCACAGAAGAGAGTCTTTTAGGTGGCCGATGGGGACTTGTTGGTTGCAGGACAGATAACGGGGGCCGTCTACTGCAACTGTGCACAGACCACAACCTGTTTCTGGCTAGCACTAACTTTCGGCGCAGTCATCGCCGATATGCCGCCTGACGTCCTCCCTCTGCATCCCAAGCCTGGACTCAGATTGATCACATCGCGATCAGCTACCGCTGACGTGGTTGTGTGAAAGACTGCCGCTCCTTTTGGAGTACCTATCTGGACTCTGACCAATCCTTGGTCTGCACCAATCTTATCTTACTTTTCAGTGGACAACGAAGCGACTGCCACTAAAGGATTGATGTCAGCAAGTTCGTTGCAAATTCTGTTGCAAATAATTATCGAGCCGAGTTAGCTTCTAGGCTAGCTACCATTCCACCGAAAAGTATAGATGAACATTGGTTGCAATTGCATGACGCCATGAAAATGGAGAGTAAAGTCAGTTGTGAGTTCGCGAAACGTCCCGCTAATAAGTACTGGGTTTCTTCTGGTTCCTTACAACTCATTGAAGCCAGTCGGTCTACTCCGGGTGACCGTGAGTTTGACCATAAACGAAGGATGTTACGTAAGGAAATTGGGCAAAGCTTGCGTAATTACCGAGAAGCCTGGTGGTCGAAGCGTGCTAATGAGCTGGAAGCAGTAGCTGCATCTGGTAACTACCGGAAGCTGTTCCAGCTCATCCGAGCCACTGGCAGCAAGAAGTCTGGTGTGAGTGAAACAATCAGCGAGGATGATGGGATGCCAATCACTAACATCCATCGACGTCTTGGACGATGGGCAGAATTTTTCGAAGGGCAGTTCAACTGGCCTGCTGCTCCGGCAACATCGGTCAGACTGTATTGCCCTCCATGGCCGGTGACGACTGATCCACCAAACGAGGAGGAAGTCCGCAAGGAACTCCAACTCTTGAAGCGTTACAAATCACCTGGCCCTATATACAAACATCTCAGGCAGAGTGAGGGCATACAACCACCTCTCTCCATTGTTCCATTCGAGTAGTGGGGTTAGGCAGGGTTGCCCAATCTCACCATTCCTCATCAACTTTGCCATCGATGACATTCTGGAAACAGCTCTGATGAATGTAAGTAATGTTGGCGTGGATCTGTTGCCTGGAGAAAGACTTCTCGCCCTTGAGTATGCGGATGATATTGTCTTACTGTGCGATAATGCCCAAGGCATGCAATCCGCACTTAATCAGTTGGCAATCAGTGTCCGTAGGTATGGTATGTGCTTTGCACCTTCGAAGTGCAAAGTACTTCTACAAGACTGGCAGGATTCCAATCCTGTACTCACCCTGGATGGTGAGCAGATAGAAGTAGTCGAGAAGTTCGTGTATCTGGGTAGCTGCATAAGTGCTGGTGAGGGTGTGAGTGATGAGATCAATTCACGTATAGTGAAAGCCAGAGCGGCTTATGCTGATCTGGGTCACCTTTGGCGCCTTCGTGATGTTAGTCTGGCTGTAAAAGGTCGGATCTACAACGCGTCGGTAAGAGCAGTTTCGCTCTATGCTTGTGAAACCTGGCCTCGCTGAGTTGAGGACGTTAGACGACTCCCTGTGTTCGATCATCGTTGTCTCCGAAGGATTGCTGACATCCAGTGGCAACACCATGTCAGTAATGCAGAGGTTCGGCATCGTCTGTTCGGGCACAGGGACGATAATGCAATTGGTGTCACCATCTTGAAACACCGACTTCGGTCGCTTGGACATGTTCTCCGAATGTCGTCGCAGAGAATTCCACGTCGTGCATTATTTGCCGACTCTAGGACTGGTTGGAAGAAGCGGAGAGGTGGTCAGTGCATGACATGGTGTCGTTGTATGAAACGAAGCTGCGAAGGGCTGGCTTGTGTAGGTCCTTCACGACTCCCTGGTTGAGGTCCGAGAGATGGTGCTACACAGTGGCTAGAGATGTTATCAGATATGGCTCAGAATAGAAGCCAGTGGCGATCCTGCTGTAACGTTGTTTTACTTTCTTCATAAAAAGTGGTTGTGTCTTCCTTAACTGAAAGATTTCTTCCGATTGAACCTTTGCGTTCTCTGATTACTAGCACATTACCTTATACCAATCTCTTCGTTATCGTTCTCTCTTTTTTTTGCACACCTTAGCTTTTTTTCTTTCTTTGTATTCCTCTTCGAATTTCCATTGTTTTGTGTGGCGCATATATATTGCCGTTCTCTTGTACCAATATTCATGTGTCCATATAAATAAATAATAAACTTAAGCTTCAGCTGACTTCTGTTAAAAAATGAACATACATACTAGTTCTCATCTAAATCGCTCACCCTGTTTGGATATGTATTATTTTTCAGATATTTTATCCATATCAATTTTTATACTGTAAAAGCTGATTTTTTTAATCGTAGGTATATGTAATTCCTTTAAATTGTTCGCTGTTGTCTTTTTTGACTGATCAAAACAGGTATTCTGTAGATCACATCTCAGAACCTTGTTTTTACGCTTTCTTACTACATTTTTAAATAGTTTCATCGTCTCTATGACAGACGTTACGAACCGTTGCAAACAGGACTGTGAATGAATGATCTCTCTGTTACTTTCATTGAACAAAATATATTATACTGTATAGACTTTTGTATTTTACTAGTTATTTGTTTACATACGTAGAGGAACGATACAGAATTAAATGATTTCATATATTTGGCCATTAGCTCCAGTTTAAATATCTATTGTAGTCCGATAGTGAGGCGCATAAAATAAACTGGTTTTAATTTGGAATACTTATTCTTACTGGTTTATTAAAAGTAAAGGAGTTTACATTCCAACCAGTACAGTCAAACTTTGCATATATCTTTTGTATTTTAATAGTCCGATCCCTTTTGCCAGCTCTCAAGATTGATACAGTACTAAAAGATATTACAGCACTTTTGCAAATAACAGCTGCAATGTAAATAGTTTGCATAAAATAATCTAAGCATTTGAAAGATTTTGATTGGCTTATCTGTCGACCGAAGCTTTTTCACTTTCTTTTCCTTAGAGAGCTTGTCGCTGGATGCCACTTAAAGCCTTTGGATCGATTAGAACTAACCAATACTGTTGGTCAAAAGTCCAGCTGGAACTATTCAACAATATTATCAAGTAATAATAGCTTGTTTCTGGAACCTGAAATGAATTCAGCTATCGTAAGTACTCACATCTAGTTTCTTCAAACACTATCAGGGATATGCTATTTATTTATAACGTAAAATATTTCGAAACAGTGAAATGTCAACAAATATTCTAAGTAGAATGATGTGATAATACTGGCAGACCATTTCAAAATGAAAACGACGAACAATAAGATGTGGAAACCATTTTAATAAAACCAACGTTTAACAGATACTCTGGAATCGAATATACCTATAGCAGGTATTAATATGAAGCGATCCAGATAGCAAATAATCTGGTTGTTATCGGCCAACGTGAATACTTAGGAATGTGTGATATCATATGTATGCTACCCAGGGTGCTCAAGGGTTATGAGAAGTGTTACTGAATTCGAATAAGTGGTATAAAGTAACATACAAAGGAGAGTGGGATAAAAAGAAAATAAGAATCAAGAATTTAAATGAATTTAGCTATTGTTCTATATTTTCAGTTGAAGAAAAAACTTATGACTAAATTCAACTTCATAAATGATCTTGTCCTCCAGCTAATTATGTACTGTAACAGCAGAGTGTATAGGTAAATGTTGCCATTTATTTACTGAAATATGTGCGATTTCAGTATAAATTCTTCAATATGCCCTATTTTAGTAAGTATTCTCCTCATTTAACACTCAAAGATCGTGGCACAAAAGTAGGTTGAGAGATTAAGTGTGCCGCATGGTTCTAACAACCAGTTATAAAAAGTGAATTTGTATAATTACTAAATATTGACTGATCCTAAAATATTAATATAGGGGGTAGTTTTAAGTTCTATGCATAGTCAGCTTATCCTATTATTTTACTGATTTTAAGTGAAACACGTTTCTTTGTTTCTATTGCTTTTATTATATATATTAAATACTATCAATATTTATGCTACCTTAATTTGATCAAAAACTACGATTTGATACAAAATGTTTCCGGTAATTCTAATACAATTTTTCGTACCGGAAAATGCACTTTTATTAGCTTTTAAGTTTGTTCAGTTTTTACATAATCCACAAATGTATTGTTCTTATATGTATCATATTTTGGCTTTGTTGTAGGCTACAAAGCCTATTACTACTCCACAGGAATTCATTGTACAGTGGCGTCATGTCAAATCATCTTCCACGTCGGACAGCATTACTAAAAATGGTGCTTTATTGGAGTTATTGTTCATTCAAGATAATGAACTATTAGAAAATCTTTTTAACACTGGACTGGGTGTGTCGTTTTTACCTGAAATACTTTCAGTATTAAATCATGCTGTTGATAACACGGACACTACATTATCATCATCTGATTATAATATCAGCATCGTAATATCCAAGGTTTCTATGATTCTTGCAAGTTTTCAACGGTCTAAACAATTTTCTTTGGCAGTCGATTGTTTGCTAGATAGTGAAAAAGAAACTGCACATCATTTAGTTGAAAAAATCACGGACGTTGCAAACAAATATGAACTTTTTGATGATGGTGAAACTTTGAAGAAAATTGCAGATACTTTTAAGCAAAGCAATAGTTGTTATGCAATAGATGACGTTAGGTCCTGTGTTTGAAGAAATTTGAAAGCTTCATTAGATATTTTGTTTTAGGTTTATTGTAATCGTAACTTGCATTCTGTTTATTTGGCACTTGTGTCTTATTGTATGTCTTTGTATTCTCTTGGAAAATCATTTCCGAATTGTTCCTAGTTTAGACAGAATTTCTACATCTGTTCAAATTCTTGAGTAAAAATACAATCTTCCTATATGACAATAAATCTTAGTCATTCTTCACCTCAATATTTCGATCAAAGTTAATTTCGGCTTATGAGACCGCACTTGTTTATAAATTTATAAATGTTTTTCCCCATGAAAAAATTCTTAATGTAAAGCATATTCCCTTCAGCAGTATGCTTATAAATGATCTTCATCACAAAACATTAATTATGTTTGACACCCCAAACAGTTCCGATGTAGAACAAAAATAATGATAAGATCCTGATGATTAATTATGTAGTAGCTGGTAATAATTGCATTAGTTCGAACAGGCAAATGTATGTCTCACATCGCTCTACCGACCGTGCAGACCAGTGAATAAATGTCATGTGAACTACCAGAACAAGGGATTAAATTTGAGGGCCGACCTTAACTATAAGCCTAACGATGACTCGACCAAATCACATAGCACGGTAGAAATATTCCTTTAAGTTCTATGATGCTAGACAGGGTGGTTAGAGAATAGTAAAATTGTAAGCATCAATATAAGACTTATGGGCGACAACAAATTATAAATTTAAATGAGTGACGACAGAAGTGACCGGCTTATACTGGGAAAGCACCATACTGCAAAGCTGGATTCTTAAGAGAGAAAGTAAGGATAAAACTGAATATCACGTATCCTGACAAACGGAATAACGTCTACCGGGATAAAGCTGTTCAAAGTGAGAAAGAAAACGCAGATATATCTTGCAAAGATATCCATAAACATGTACAGACAGCAGTGATACCCACCAGCAAAATGTTAGGAAAAGTCAGTGGCTTTCAGTGGTGTCTACAGAAATGACAGGTACTCGGAGACTCATCTCGTCTGGCTCCGAACACAAAGAGGAGCGGAAGCAGTTTAGACGTAAGCCGACTAAGCGTACGTGATGATCGTGAGTAGCGAAAACAGAAGAGATGGAAGGCGGCGGCACTAAATAACTGTTCGGACGTCTCAAGGAAACGGATATTCAGAACCCTGCTGTTAGTGACTGTCTCGGAGAAAGACGGGATTATTATATACTCTCAATCCAGATTGCACCGATGTACAGCACACTTTAAAGGACACCTCAACTGGCCTTCAGACACATATCAGTTACCCAATAACACCAAGCAACCTTGTGCGAGTCCTCCAACTCTTAGTGAAGTTGAAAAGGCTATGAATAATCTAAGGCAAGGGAGAACAACAGGACCTGATGGATCAACTCGAAATTTTTAAGGACAGTGATCCAGTTCTAACAGTTTAAGTAACCGGAGTATCAGCTTGAATCTGGGAACTGAACGCAATCCTATCTGATTGGCCTCGATCGCTGATCGTCTCAGTTTATAAGAAAGGAACAGAAATCAGTTCAATTAGTGTCTAAAATATTAGCCTCAATAATGCTTGAACGTCTAACTAGAGTTTGTGGTGAGCGAACCAGGCTGGTTTCAGAGCTGGACAAAATACTCACCTTTCAGTAGATTCTGCAATATACTGGAGTTCCAAATGATTTAACAACAATAAAAACTTTAAGCTTTTAACGTACCAGGATTTTTAGGTTCACCGCCAAAAAGTGCCAGTGCAATGCCACGTTTAATATCTTCATGACCATACACACTTGGAGCTATGCTAGCGAAAATTCGATCACCAATCCTTTCATCACGTGAAAGTTTCAAGATCGCCCTTGTGTCCTCGTCAGTTAATGTCCCCACAGCGACCTGCATGTATAAAACAAGACCAAAATCCACTCACCTTATCATCTTTTCGAACAACGTTGTTTGCTAATATGACAGTTGCAAAGACTGGAAAACCGTGCTTAGTATTGAGTGATCCATCATAGCTATGTGTATATACTCCAGTTAACTCCTACAATTGGACTCATGATTGACTGAATTGAAATACGACTCACTATTTCATCCCCCGGTTTGCAGCTGTCAACCAGATCATCTAGAAGAATAGCATCTTTAGACCTAGGAAGACGACCTGCTGGAACTTTGCCTGGGCTTTCTTGAATAGTGATACGTTGATAATTTCTATAAACAGTCTGAAAAATAATTCAGAAATTAGATGTGGAAAGTCGTTATCATGGATGAGGCAGGCAAACACGTTACTAGAATACAGTCGGTATTTATAGTAATGACTAAGCTATGTATATGTTAGCAGTATTTACCAGTTTTTCTGTTTACCCTACAATTTCCTGGAGGATTGTTATTTGGTCCAGAATTTTGCGACAGGATGTTTAGAAAACTTAGGAAAAATCCCCTATTCACATTTTCATTAAAAAAAACATGTCTTAGTCGAGGTGTCTGACGGAAGTTTTGGACAACTCAAATCACCTATTCCCAATTAGTTATCAATAAATTTCTACAAAATTACAAGATGCCTTCTGTCAACGAAATACATCGTGACTGACAGATATAAGTGATCGGGACATGATACATTTTCGTTCAGATAAAAGTGCTAAGATTGTGATCGTGGATCAGGAAAATGATACTCATTGCCTACTACATTCAGAGATGGAGACACTTACATTAAATAAAAGGTTTAGAGATGGCACGAACGTCTATATTGTGATCGTATATGCTTCTGTGATTCTTCGACATTAATGCCGACACTTTTTCATATAGTGTGCACAACTTAAATGGGGATGCTATTTTAATAATCCGTTTCAGATCATGATGGATTTAGGAGCAATTTAACCATCAAAAAGACCATGAACTACCCAACTGTATATGATCACTTAGAATAAGGTCAATGATTGGCGTCTACCTTGTGTCTATTGGCGATTTTGTATAAAGTCCACTTATCCCTTATACACAAACATGTGATTTCCGTCGAATGATTGTTGAAAAGAATGCTTAACACAGCATACACGATCGTGGTCTCGTATGGATGCTCGACTTAACGTCTTCAGTCAGGTTGTGTCCATTAGGATATATAATGTCAGTATTAATGTCGAGGACTTACATAACCATTTACTTTGGGGATCTATGTGCCGCCACGGTAATAATAATAACGAGAATCTCTGTTGAACATTATCTCATGTGCTCCTAAAAGTTTTCTTACTCCATTGTTCAACACGGTCATATAGATAAGAACACTTGGAACCTTTTAGGAATACAGTAATCAAATAGTTTCAAGTACTGAGTTTCAAATTCAAATGAGTTGAACATGAAAACACCAGACGTATATCCCTCAAGATACAAAATGCTTAGGGTTCGCCATGTGATAATCTGGAATATCGCGAACGTTCTGATGTGTCTGTGAACCATTTCTACCGGACACAGAAGCTCGTTGAACGACAGCTGCTTTCATTCGGTCCAAAAACACTCTCAACTATTTGTAAACTTGAAAAAAACCTAATATCTGTACTAAATTATGCACAAAGACTGATAGTTTTTGGTTTATCGATTCCCTATAATTCCGTATGTCACGAGTTAGTAGTCTTCCCGAAAATGCATATCTTACATGCGACTAGTGAATTCACTCAAGTTCAATATCCAGTTGGATTTAAAGTAGTCGAAATCACCTGCAGGCGCCCAGTTCTCAACTTTTGAATTTTTTTTGAAATGTCGGTGAGTGCTTATGATATGTGCTTTGACAGAAATAGAACTCAGACTTATCAGGTCGACATGGTGGTGGGCTTTCAGGTGCAGCAAGCCCGGATCCAGAGGAACCTGCTTTCGAGGATGAATCCGCCGCCATACTGGGTGATGACAATCTTGATGAAGAAGAGGAATCCGGAGAGAATTTATTCGGTGACGATATGGAGCGTGATTATCGGTAAATTCCTAATCTCTGTCCAATTACCTCAGCCCCATCCCGGAGCTTGACGTCTATGAGGCAGAAGGTCTTGCAGACCCTGATGAAGACCTAGAGGAACTATCACCGAATGCTCGCGCTGAAGCTGAACGTGAAATGAGACGACGGGACCGTGAGCGTCTGCTTGCGACTGGCGGACTTAGACGTGATCTTATAGCCGGTAAGAGTATAAGTTATGCTAGTTATGTACTCAGATTTGTACGGTGAGGAGGAGGAGGAAGAAATAATTCCTGCACGTCACAGGCGTATTGCCGAGAGAGTTGCTGCAGGTGATGAAGGTGATTTAGAACCTGAAGGTGTGCTGGAAAGTATCGAAAACTTGGAGGATATGAAAGGAATGTCTGTCGTTGAATGGGTCCAGCAACCTGTCACTCGTCAAGAAATCAAAAACCGTTTTAAAGCATTTCTCAGAACGTTTTTGGACGAAAACGATCGTAACGTATATGCTGAGCGTATAGTACAAATGGCGAGAGAAAACAAACATAGTCTGCATATTGATTACCAACACCTGGCGTCGGCGGAGCAAGTCCTAGCATATTTTTTACCAGAAGCCCCACAACATGTCTTAGAGATCTTCGACGAGGTAAAGTCAGCTTTCTGCTCTATTACGATTAGGCTGCTCGTGAAGTCACATTGACTCGGTTCCCTCGTTACGACAGAATCACTAATCGAGTCCATGTCAGAATAAACGACCTTCCTCTCATTGAGGATCTCCGATGTCTTCGCCATTTTCATCTTAACCAACTTATCCGAACATGTGGAGTAGTTACAAGCAGTTCTGGTGTCCTGCCTCAGTTGAGCGTAGTCCGCTACAACTGTACGAAATGTGGGTGTCTTTTGGGCCCATTTGTTCAAAACCAAACAGGCTCAGAGGTCAAACCTTCTACCTGTCCAGACTGCCAGTCAGGTGGTCCATTCGAACTATGCATGGAACAGGTAATCACTTTTCGACTTTTCTAATTATTTTACTCTCATTTTCGTATGATTTAATCTTCACTGTGTTGTATGAGTTTAATATAACCAAATGGACTAAGTATCCAGAAGCCAGGTCAACACAATGAAAACTCCTAAATCACATAGTCGAAAAACCAGCAACAACATATAAAAACTACAGTTCATGTACTGGGGACCTTGCTAAAGAGCTTTCAATGTCTACATCACCGCAAAACTTTGGTTTTACTGGGAGAGGGTCGCCACTGAGTAGTGCTTGCTGTTAGAAACGAGTTTGTTAGCTGACATCTTCATATTAGCGACTAGAATCCTCTTGAGATAACCTCACAAGCATCAGTGTGACTAAAATTACATCAAATATTAGCCTACACTATAGTTCTTCATTGTTCCATGTATCGAATTATGTGAAAATCTTATTGGAATGAGAATAAACATGTATACCTCTTGGCTTCATACTTTTCACATGTTAAGGCTTTTTTGAAGATATAATTTCAAGTAAAATGATTCCTATGTCCGTCTTGAATGACCTGAGCGATTTATCTTACCAGTAGATTTGTTGCATAAATACGAGGACTTTTGAGCCGTTCAAAGATTTCGTCCGGAATGATTTCTACTCTAGTTTAGTCTTTAAATCTGTGATGTAGATACGTGTGTCTTCTCTTAACCGTTTATTTATTGGAAGTGTCTCCATCTCTGAATGTAGTAGGCAATGAGTATCATTTTCCTGATCCACGATCACAATCTTAGCACTTTTATCTGAACGAAAATGTATCATGTCCCGATCACTTATATCTGTCAGTCACGATGTATTTCGTTGACAGAAGGCATCTTGTAATTTTGTAGAAATTTATTGATAACTAATTGGGAATAGGTGATTTGAGTTGTCCAAAACTTCCGTCAGACACCTCGACTAAGACATGCTTTTTTTAATGAAAATGTGAATAGGGGATTTTTCCTAAGTTTTCTAAACATCCTGTCGCAAAATTCTGGACCAGATAACAATCCTCCAGGAAATTGTAGGGTAAACAGAAAAACTGGTAAATACTGCTAACATATACATAGCTTAGTCATTACTATAAATACCGACTGTATTCTAGTAACGTGTTTGCCTGCCTCATCCATGATAACGACTTTCCACATCTAATTTCTGAATTATTTTTCAGACTGTTTATAGAAATTATCAACGTATCACTATTCAAGAAAGCCCAGGCAAAGTTCCAGCAGGTCGTCTTCCTAGGTCTAAAGATGCTATTCTTCTAGATGATCTGGTTGACAGCTGCAAACCGGGGGATGAAATAGTGAGTCGTATTTCAATTCAGTCAATCATGAGTCCAATTGTAGGAGTTAACTGGAGTATATACACATAGCTATGATGGATCACTCAATACTAAGCACGGTTTTCCAGTCTTTGCAACTGTCATATTAGCAAACAACGTTGTTCGAAAAGATGATAAGGTGAGTGGATTTCGGTCTTGTTTTATACATGCAGGTCGCTGTGGGGACATTAACTGACGAGGACACAAGGGCGATCTTGAAACTTTCACGTGATGAAAGGATTGGTGATCGAATTTTTGCTAGCATAGCTCCAAGTGTGTATGGTCATGAAGATATTAAACGTGGCATTGCACTGGCACTTTTTGGCGGTGAACCTAAAAATCCTGGTACGTTAAAAGCTTAAAGTTTTTATTGTTGTTAAATCATTTGGAACTCCAGTATATTGCAGAACCTACTGAAAGGTGAGTATTTTGTCCAGCTCTGAAACCAGCCTGGTTCGCTCACCACAAACTCTAGTTAGACGTTCAAGCATTATTGAGGCTAATATTTTAGACACTAATTGAACTGATTTCTGTTCCTTTCTTATAAACTGAGACGATCAGCGATCGAGGCCAATCAGATAGGATTGCGTTCAGTTCCCAGATTCAAGCTGATACTCCGGTTACTTAAACTGTTAGAACTGGATCACTGTCCTTAAAAATTTCGAGTTGATCCATCAGGTCCTGTTGTTCTCCCTTGCCTTAGATTATTCATAGCCTTTTCAACTTCACTAAGAGTTGGAGGACTCGCACAAGGTTGCTTGGTGTTATTGGGTAACTGATATGTGTCTGAAGGCCAGTTGAGGTGTCCTTTAAAGTGTGCTGTACATCGGTGCAATCTGGATTGAGAGTATATAATAATCCCGTCTTTCTCCGAGACAGTCACTAACAGCAGGGTTCTGAATATCCGTTTCCTTGAGACGTCCGAACAGTTATTTAGTGCCGCCGCCTTCCATTTCTTCTGTTTTCGCTACTCACGATCATCACGTACGCTTAGTCGGCTTACGTCTAAACTGCTTCCGCTCCTCTTTGTGTTCGGAGCCAGACGAGATGAGTCTCCGAGTACCTGTCATTTCTGTAGACACCACTGAAAGCCACTGACTTTTCCTAACATTTTGCTGGTGGGTATCACTGCTGTCTGTACATGTTTATGGATATCTTTGCAAGATTCCTCTGGTTGAGCATCACTTGCACTATTCACTAAATTCTCTATTTAAACGTTAAAAATACTCTTGAATTTTTCAACATAAAGTCGAACTTTGGAATTTTTTCTTTCTGTTGCCTCCCTATGCTTAGTAAGCTGCATAACAATACATGCCCGAACTAAAGCATGATCCGAGTTTGAACATGTGTTCCAGAATGATTGACTGTCTTCATTTGATCCCCTCCAACGATGGCTAATGACAATTTAGTTAGTTGTGGGGGTCATTGCGTTAGAAAAATTTTTCCTTACGTTTAAAGTTAGTATTTGCCAGGAAGTGATGGTTATCTGAGTATGGTGGTTGCAAGACTCATCATTATCCGTGTGCTGAGCAACAATACCGTAAGATCCAGCATATGTGCCTTTCGGTTTGGTTTAGTTTACCCTCTTCAAAATTAAAATCACCTGCCACTATTTTAAAATCAGAGCGTCTAGCTTTTCGATGGTCGGATAGCTTTCTATAAAATTCATCTGACCTACAATCAGTCAGCATATACAGGAAAAGCGAAGAGGCAACAGCGTGTCCCTGTCTTTTCGAGTTCTTACTGTCCCACTTGCTCGGACAACACATAAGAGACTGTCTATTGGAATCCAGTCTATCTGATCCTGTTCTACTTTTGAACTTCACTGTCTACCTACACCAGCAAGGTCACTGGAAGTAGCAGACGGGAGAGATACTAAATGGGAAAATTCCACTGGTCCTATATATTGACAAGGTTCGAACATTAAAAGCTACAACCTTTAGTTCAAAGCTTGATTTGAGAAGGGTAAATTTTTTTACTCTCGCTAAAGTTATTTTGAACTTCGGGGTCACAGTTTTTCTGTCTAATTCGGTGACAGGTTTTTTTTATCATCGCCTCTTAAACTGGTGCTCTTCAAAGAGCTTACTGGAATTTGCGGTTGCTCTTATGTTATGCTAAAGGTTAGTTTTTCGAGATTTTTCGGTTTTTAAGTGCTATAGTCACAAGTGAAATAAGTGTCGTGTATTAATCTAAACCTTTCGATTTAGCGTAACAATTTGTTACCCTTGTATTAGGAATATCCCTTCATTACATTTTATTGCTACGGAAATGGTGTTTACACGCATTTACTTCAAATGTTTATCCATGTTTTGTCTACAGGGATTTTATTATTGTCACTTGGCTTAGCCTGATGTTAATATTAAGTTATTAATATTCTCAGTTATTCACATATTGTGTTTTGTTTTCACAGATTTTTTTCATTATTCTTATAGGAGGAAAACACAAGGTACGAGGTGACATTAATGTTCTTCTCTGTGGTGATCCGGGGACTGCAAAGTCACAGTTTCTTAAGTGTGTTGAGCAGCTAGCTCCAAGGAGTGTTTTTACAACTGGTCAGGGAGCAAGTGCAGTTGGTCTAACAGCGTATGTTACTCGCAGTCCAATGAGTCGGGAGTGGACTTTGGAAGCTGGTGCACTTGTTCTTGCAGATCGTGGTGTGTGTTTAATTGACGAATTCGATAAGGTGAATGTCCTTGTACTGCCTGTTTATATGAATTATGAAAATTTTTTCAATTTATTATGGAGCTGCTGTTTTCATGAGTATTTTCCTTTGTTTGTGGGGACATTTTGAGGCTGAAGAATAACAGTGTGTGCAAGCCTAGCTACTGTTGTATAGTTTATTAGAGAACCACAAACTTAGTTTCTGTTCTGCGTCGATTCAGAAAGTGTTCCATTAGCATTTACTTGTGTACTTGGTAGTATCGGTGTTCTGTTATACTTCAGATTCAAAGCAATTGTATTTTAGATTCTCAACAACAAATTTTTATCTGCTTCTAAGTCATTATTTTTAGAATATTCAGAAGAAATTGGTGAATTAAACATATTTTTGGGGAATATCTGTCTACTTTCCGACGTATTGTGACCAGGACGCGATTAAGCCTGAGTTTATCATCAACTGGAAGACCACAACAAACTCGTTCATCAGATGCAGTCGTGCGAGCTTAGGACTTGTGACTAAATTATTTAGGAAACCTTCATAAAAGCACGAAATCTTTCGGTCAGAGGTCATTCTGAATTCAAATGAAGCAATAGTCTCGGGTAACTGGTGGAAACAGTTTGATGTCATATTAGGGTAGTTAAAAACTTGATCAAGCAACCATTGATTTCAAATTAAAGAATGCAGACCATACCGATTTTCTGTGTTTTCGGGGTTATCCGTATCATTAGTCTGCAGTCATCTTTTATATTCCAAGTATGTTGCTCATTTAAAAGTAAGCTGGTTTTAGAAGTTACCAGAAATTTTTGTCTTCATTCATTCATAGTAATGTACCGCTGAGAAACCTGAACTAACTATTCGACAACCCTGTATTCGTTCGTTATCGACTTCGATGACAACATTATAAGCAATACTGAATTCCGAGATAATTTATTTTAACGTTCTAGTGGTTATAATATTAAGTGTTGCAAGTACTTTTGGCTTGCATTACTTATTTAGGCCTTTCACCCCTCGTGGAGGGGCATAGGCCTCCCACCATCATTTTCCATCGGACTCTGTCACGAGTAGTCCTTTTTCACGGTTATCTGTCTCTGGCGGTAAGCTCTCGATAAGTACGGAGCTAACACAAAAATTGCTTACGCGAAGTTCGTGTGTGACCGTCCACAAGCAGTTGTCCCTTAGGCACTGCAGTCCTACTTTTAGGTCAGTAAGGCCACCTCTAACCCGATTTCCTGTTCAAGTACTTCTAGAAGAACCCTTCCATGGTGTGGATAACTGGGAGGTGAAAACCGCCCTGATACGTCTAACGGCATTCGAAACCACAATATTCATAATCAATCTCCCTTTTCAATTCCTATTGTTCCTGCTATATCAACTTTCAACTCCTTCCTCAAATGTCACCATGGCCAACGATTATAGTGCACAAAACACTGTCCCAGGTCTACTGAACGCTTTCCCCGAACTACATTTTGGAGCTTTCTATATACGCACTCTATGTTAAATCAGCCAGCTGGCTTCTTTGGCTAAAACCCTAGAATCTCGTACCATTGATGTGTGTTGTGTCTCCGAAACACACATACAAGATTCTAGCATGGTCATACAGCTGAGCTCATCTCGGCAAAACGGATAGCTGCTGAGATGCATCCTCCGTGAATCTGGCTCCTCGAAGGCCAGTTCTCGTGAACTGGCAGGTATAGGCATAGCACCAAGTACGAGGGCAGAACAAGCACCATTGGAATGGATCCCCGTTAACAGTTGACTGTGCTGTTCGGTTAAACGACTCCGTAAAAACTCGGAAGCAGAGGGACACACGTCGTTGCCCGTTTGTCGTTACTGCCTACGCTCAAACTGACTGCAACCCAGTGAAGTGGAAGATAAATTTTACAATAAGCTTTCTGAACTTCAAAAAGCTAGACTCAGACATACTACTCGTAGCAGGTAACGTGTGTGGCGCATATATATTGGAGCTCTCTTGTACCAATATTTATGTGTTCAAATAAATAAATAAGGTGACTTTAATGCTCATGTTGGTAGCTTAAACCAAACAGAAAGACATTTACGTGGGTATTTTAGTATTCCTGCTCAGCGAACAGATAATGGTGAACGTCTGCTGCAACTGTGCTCAAACAATTGTTTATCTTTAGCAAGCACTAATTGTAAGCATGAGAGGCATCGCCTAACATGACGACCCCGTACACCAGACTAAAATGGACTCGAATAGACCATATTGCCATCAGTCGTCGTTGGAGTGGCTCAATAGGGGGCTGTCGATCGTTATGGTCTGCATGCTTATACTCTGATCATGTTCTGATACGAGCACGCATTTGCCTGCACCTGACTAGATGCAGAAAAACCACACTAAGAGGATCCACTGGAACTGGGAAAGGTAAAGTGATCAGCTTAAAATATGCTGTCGTGAAATAAAGAATAGTTAAGATTTATTGATTCTTGATACACATTTGGATGGAACCGTAGAAGTCATGCATTCTAGTAGCTTGAGTTGTCATACATAGCTCAGAATGAAAACCAATAGTTATTGGGATGTTTTTTTCTTATTGCATTCGTAACATTTAGTTACCGCGTTTCTGTTTGAACTGTAGTCATTGGTATTTGTTGTTCTCGAATTTATACTATGCTTTTTCTTTTCAGTTTCCGTAACTTGAATCTTAGTCATGTATTATGTTAAGTGTTTTTTTGTGTCAAGTTAGTAAGTCTGCTGTTTGTTGATTTCTGTTTCCTTTTACAGATGAATGACCAGGACCGAACATCTATACACGAAGCCATGGAACAACAGAGCATCTCAATAAGTAAGGCAGGTATTGTTACAAGCTTGCAAGCAAGATGTACTATTGTTGCTGCTGCTAATCCTATCGGTGGTCGTTATGACCCGAGCATGACATTTTCTGACAATGTCGATCTCAGCGAACCAATTTTGAGTCGTTTTGATGTTCTTTGTGTTGTTCGTGATGCAGTAGATCCTATTCAGGTGAATAATGACACTGCAATTTAGATACCTTTAGAACATTTAGTATTATAATTAAACGATTAAGTGTTTAATGTGTTTTTTGGCCTATATGAAAAAAATCATACATCCGATTGTTTATATTTTACATGTGTGCAGGTTAATATCCTAAGTTAGCTACTGGTATTAAGATTCCATCTATTTCTCTAATTTTTACGAAAGTGAATGTTGGTTCATTATGTACAAAGTTCATGATTAATGCTTCCGCAATATCTTACCACATAATTAAAGTAGTAAGTTCTCTATTGATTATAACTGGGCAATGGCTGTTCACAAAAAGTAAAATAACCACAGTGCTTAGGTTTACAAAAATACTTATTATCTTGGAGTTAACAATTAGGTTATTTTTACTAGATAATTTCTGTCTTACAAATCTTCCATTCGTTGGTTTTAAAGAATTCATTGTTATTTCACTATGGTGACATCATAATGAAGGAGTGTAATGTTTGGTTTACTTTGGGTGAAAGGGACAATCAGAACCCGATTCCAGGCACATCCATGTCTTGAAACATCTTGCCCTAGTTTGTACATACTTACGTGATGGTCCTACGTTGTAGCTGACTGATTGATATAAACGGCACCGTTTCGTTTTATGCTACTTATTAGGGATTTCAATAGTGCATTTTTCACACGTTAGATTCAAGTTTACAACAGAACTATTTACTAAACAATTCTTATGCGTGTTTATGCAACCGTTCACAGTTTATTTTGCTCGATAATTATCAGGTTAGAAATGCTGAAAAATATCGATCTTATCTGCTATTTATTGAATTAGTAGTTCTAGTTGTGTTCAATATCCTGGCGATGGAAACATTCGTCTAATTCTCTTTTGGATGTGTTATGTTGCCTGTATTTGATGGTTTAACCTTTGTGCAAATATACGTTTAAATAATGCGATCGAAATTCTCGACACACACTAATCAAATTTTACATCTACCAAACTTGCTTTAATCGCTCATGAAGTAATTATTATAGCTTTCAATTGTATTTATTTATTTACTTGAACACACAAATATTGGCACAAGGGACACTATTATTAGTCATCATTTGATATGTGTAAGGGCTGTGACACTTCCTGGGTGCCCATACCGAAACACGTAGTTCTCTTAAAGGGGTACGCCCGGAGCCTTTGACCTCAAGGACTAATCCACAAGACAGTGGAGCAACATCAGGGGTGCAGTCCCATCTTATCTCGTGACCAACAATACGCTCATACGCCATTTGTTCCCTCAGGCTCCTGGAGCTCATGTGCATTATTGGTTTGGAACCAGGTTTTCCAACTCCCCTAAGTGGGTCCTCCGTGTCGTTGCGACATTTGAAACCTAATCTGTGCATCCATCCATCAATCATATATATATATCATTTTATTTGAACACAAATACTGGTACAAGGAGCCACCAGATACATATTCGCCACACAAATCTCAATTGATTTGTGTGAGGGTTGTAATATGCTCGTTTATATTGATGGATTTCTCCGCGATTTATTTTATATTCATGACTTAAAAGAGTTTGCTGTTTTAGTTTTGGTAATAAATAATGCTAAATGCTTCGAAATTCGATTGTAATATATCGATAGGATGAAATGCTTGCACGCTTTGTTGTTGGAAGTCATATGCGTCACCATCCTAATATGACGCTGGAGGAGCGTGTTGCTCTGAATGATCAATTAGCAGAACGTGGTGTTCCCCGAAGTGGATCTTATGCAGACATCCAACCACTAGATCAGGTAATTAGTTCGCATTTCGTATATATATGCTTTATTTTCAGTGATTCTTACACACTATGTAAACATAATTTTCTGAATAATTTGTCACGCATGACCTGTCATCATCTGCAGTAACGTATAATGCCGTGTAGAATTATAGTTGGTTCATAAAAATCCGTCCAACTCTGAGGTTGTACTTTTTGCTTATCATTGTTTTCCTTTCGTAATAACTATCGTTCATATTCTGTTACATGGAGTTTTTGATGGTTTACTGACTATTGATCTGTATTGTTGCCACTCCATATTTACTAGCCCGAAAGATATAAAGAGGAGTAGGGTAGTTGAACGCATTGATCGCTCCACGTATCTGGGATGTTTCAGTTTTGATAGTCTGGTGTCTGAAAAAATCTTAGCACAAATTCATAAAGTTTGGTTGGCTTTTACCAACCTGCGTCACTTTTGGCGTAAGCAAGATGTCCGTTTCTTAACCAATATTTATTTTTTTAATTTATTTTAACACAAAAATTAGCACAAAGAGGCACTAAATATATATGCGCCACATAAATCATTCGATTATTGTGAGGGCTGAGACACTACTTGGCCGCCCAAACCGTAGCAGGTGGTTTTCTTAGTAAGCGACTCTTTGACCTAGAGGTCTGATCAACAAGGCAGTGGAGCAGCGTAAGAAGATGGTAGCCAGTGACCAACAATAGGTTAATATACCAATTGTCTTTTTATAATTCTGGAGCCCATTTATTTATTTATTTTAACATATAGATATTGGTACAAGGAGGCACCAAATAAATATGCGCCACACAAATCTCTTCAGCCGGTGACCAACAATAGGTTCATACGCCGTTTGTTCCTTCATGATACTGGAGCCCATGAGCACCATTGGTTTGGAATCAGGGTTTTCCAACCCCCTAGGTGCATCCTTCTTATCGATTAGCCCGGTTAAAGCGCTAGACATCCGCTTTTTGTCCTCAGTTTCGTGAACAACACCCGCGCCGCATGGAGGCAGTGAGTAAAACATCCCTATCAATGGCTGTATACGCGTGGCCATGTGAGAGCATTTCAAGAAAAAGAAGTGACTCTCACCACTTTCGACCATAAAAGGGAATTCAGGAGCCACTTGACCGATGGGCGAGTTTGCTGTGCGTTAATTGTCTCCGTCCTACTTTGTGGATGTGAGAAATCCCCACTAAGAATAGAGAATATTCGCAGGTTGGTGGTATTCGATGATCAATGTCTTCAAAACATTGCTTGTGTAACGGGACCTCCAAGCTAGCGATACCTGGGTTCGGAGTAGAGTGCTAGTTAGAGATGCGAAATCGATTAATGAGGCAGTGAATCTTCAACTAAGATGATTGTGACATGTATTAAGTATGCCCAACCACCACCTTCCTCAACGGGCAATGTTTTCTGTTATAAGAGTAGGCTGAAAGAAAGCTAGAGGCGCCCAAACCAATACGTGACATCTGTTCATGAAGCCACTGGAATATGGACTTATTCATGTTAAAAGGTATAGACTGCTTGGTTGGGGTCCTCGTAATTATCGTAACCGATTGTTAGAAACTTTGAATGATATAGATCCAAATCTTTTTTATTAGAGTTTTATTGTCTGTGCTAGATGGATTTGTGGTGAAGGCTTCATCGTTCATCTGACGGACATCATCCAATACGTTCGCATTAGCTCAGATGTATCCGTTCATGTTGCCACACCTCATCGGCACAAATGGATAAAACTGGTTGATCATACGTAACATGTCACAACCACCTCAGTTGGTTTACTGCCTCATCAAATGATCTCATCCTTCGGAAATTTACACTTTGTACTAATACAAATACTTACTTATCATCTAGGAATTTTATTTCAATAGTAACACATATTAGTTTCTCAGTTAGATGCATATGTTTAGCCAGAAACCTACCGGTTGAAATATCATATCAAATGCAATAATGTGGAACTTGGGAATGATGCTTTCTCTAACAACGCAGGAGAGTATCCATCTTTATTTTAAATTGTCTTATTAATTTAATTGTTTGCACAATAAACATAACTTTGTGTAGCAACTTACTTTATTAGTGTTCTGGATTGATCAAACTACTCGCATTCAGTCAGAATCGCGATTTACATATATTCTTTCTCAATTTATTTTTGGCGATATCGTTCAATTTCTCGATCTATATTATATATTTTCGATACCGTATCAATCAAGTATGCCCTGAGCTATGTTATTTTGTGATGTATGTTTGCAACACCAATTACATTACAGAAAATAAGAAAAATGTCACGCCTTTTCAATGTAAAGGATTCAAGTCACATCAAAATTTGCGATTACCTTTCGACAGCAAATAGTCATTATGTGGAACTTTAATATTAATATTAAAGCAACATAAGTGTATGTCAATTGAATTTCTGGGTCGACGTTCTTTTATATTGTTCCCACTCAAATTGTATAATGTTTTCAACGCAAGCTTTATTCATATTGATGAAGTCATATTCTGTATCGAGCCTTATATGAAGTGCATGTCTTTAGCAGATATTCTGTCGACAGACAAAACTATTGCCAAATAGTGCTTAAGATTGTAATTTGTTTCCATTAAAATATAAGGAAATTAAGCTTCTTCGGTTATTCAGAATTATGTACAGCAGTTTCATAATACTTCGAGTCTTAACATCCAGTTACCTTTCTTTAAATGCTACCTCGGTATCGAATCATACCTGTTTCCTTATTTCTTAACCATAAATTGCAGTTGCCATATAAATTTCTGGTCGTATATATTATACATCTTGACCAAATTTGGTTTAATAAACTGTAGTTTATTTTTATGGGAACTCGGTATTTTATAGCTGTGGTTTAATGGAACGTTATCTACCTATGATTGTTCCATTTTGTAAAAGGTTTTATTATTCTATTTTACCCCACCATCTACAAACTATATGGTTTGCTATATGGATTTTGCTTCCTCAATTAAGTGCTCTTTAAAAGCACGAAGCAAGTTAGTTTTCGTAATCTCAACATTTGTTTAACGATATTTAGTGATGTAGAAACCCGACCAGTATTTTCGTTTTATTAACCGTATGGTTCTTTCTGAACGGACTAATTTGGGTCTATAACGGCGAATTTATGTGTATACGATATGCTCATATTTTTCTTTTGAGATTAAGGTAAATAAGGCAATCCTGCGTTATCACTTGTTGAATCTAAATGACTGTTGTCGCATCACTTAAAGCTGGACGAATTTAGTTGTGTTCGTTAGTCGATGAGGAAAATATTTCTTCAGATTCCTAGAAATTCGGCCACCTAAATTTTGCATAGTTTTTTACAACAAAGTCATTCCAAAGGATTCATTCGCTTAAATACTTTGTTAATTTCTTGGCGCATTTCATTACGCACTGTTTTTTGTTTGTTTCCATGGTTAAATATAATTGTAGTCAACATCATTATTTGTTACTCTGTTTTTGCTTGACATTTTGTCATCATTTTGCCAAATTGAGTTGGAAATAACCAATCACTTAAAGTCTTAAATAAATTACGATAATTTATTCTTATTTATAGTCCAGCCTTTACTAAATAAACCCCGATTTGCAAGGTCAGCTAGTATTTCATTGGTGTTAGTGTTTTAATTAGTTTTGTTTAGTTCTATATACGTAATGACATAAATAGTGATATTCATTTGTTTTGTTTGTATGTTGTTAATGTATATAAAAATGGCTGAGGTTTTTAATTATTAACATTTATTCTTAATATTCAAAAACACCAACCATGTTTTCTAATTCAATACATTTCGTTCACGTCACTTAGAATCGTACTAGATAATGTCCTGTTTTAATTCAACTTCAGGAATTGTTAAAGAAATACATTCTTTATGCAAAAGACCGTATTCATCCTAAGCTAAATCAAATGGATCAGGACAAGGTAGCTGCAGCTTACGCTGATCTAAGACGGGAATCCATGGTTAGTCTGTGTTATTAGTCATGTTATTCATTCTTTTTTCCCTCATTCATCGTTTGCAATTCTGAGTTTGTTCTTCATTTATTCTTTGTGATCACCTAATATCATTTGTTAATTCTATAGGTAACTGGGAGCTTACCAATAACTGTCCGACACATCGAATCGGTAATCCGTTTGTCTGAAGCACACGCTCGTTTGCATTTGCGAGAATTCGTTAATGACGATGATGTTAATATGGCTCTCCGTGTCATGCTAGAGTCATTTGTGTCTACTCAAAAATTCAGTGTCATGAAGTCAATGCGACAGGTTGGTATTCTAAAAAATTTTTTGTCAGTGGTTGAAGTAAACACCTTTTCAATTTACTACCTTCGTTTTATATCAGCATATAAACACTACAAATAAATTTGATTTCCAGATAGTCACTAAACTCTCGTGTCATTTCTGTCCCTATAGCAACGGGTACTAATTGCTCATTTCATTCGGTGCTGGCCATTCTACACTCTCAACGTTATTAGTGTTAAGCAGTATAAATTATTGTCTTGTTTTTATTTTTATGTGCTAATTACTCAAGGGGTGCTTTGGTTTTTCAATTTATTGGTTTACTAATCTTATTTTATTTCCAGACTTTCTCCCGATTTTTGAGCTATCGTCGCGACAACCAAGAATTGTTATTGTTCTTGCTTAAACAGTTAGTTCAAGATCGGTTAGCTTTCGAACGTGTTCGACATGCTGGGAGTCAAGAATGGCGCATCGAAGTCACTGAACGAGAATTCGCTGAGCGAGCCAAGCAGATAAACATCAGTTCTGTTCGTGCATTCTTGCAAAGTGACCTTTTCAAGTCACACCATTTTGTGTATGATGCCAGTCGGAAAGTTATCGTTCATACGGTATAAATGTGAGCCACTTGTTGTTTGGTTCATTGTACGTCTTTTATGACTTTATGCTAAGTGGTATAATTTCTAGTTTTGATGGATTTCGATTTCAATTTAATATAATAATTTGTTTCAATTTGCTGTTCATTTAGCGGAGGCTGTGTGTGGAGCAAACTGAAATATCTGAGCTGATTGTACATTTAGTTCAGGTGCTAATGTTATTCTACAGATTGCACTACTCATAGCCTTCGCTAGAACGGCTTACCGTCTATCTTTATTACTATTATCATTATTATTGTGTTACTGAATTATTAGTTACATTTGTTTCATATATACCCACATTTATTTACTTTATTGATTTTTTTTAGGACAATACATTGGTACTGAACTAGATTCTCACTTCATACAGCTGACATTTCTGTGCATCTGTATATCCTTATTTTTTCTAAAATATATCAACTATTGACCTGTTTTACTTATTAAATATTATATACTTCTATTTTATCAGATGTATCATCCATTGTTGTGAAATACTATGATCTGTACATCGCTGATCGTTTTTCATGCTAATTAAATAAATGTTCGCCCATTTATAACTTGTGTTTTACTGTTACACATCTTAATTTCACTTTCAAAGAGATCGACGTGCAATATCAATTATCCAGGTTCACTAGTTCGTATTTATTTATACGTAGATTTCAATTTCCTTGTAATATTCTAACCTAATCCGAGAATCTTTTTAAAGTTGTGATCAATTTATAGTATTAGTAGGTTTAAATAATAAAAAAGTAACGTCACTTCAATAAAAATGTTTTAACTATTTGTGCTAGGTTTATCGATTGTTAAGAAAAAGTAGCTATGCAATTTATGAAGTTATATTGTTGTGACGTGTTTGGAATTTATCTTTATTTGCGTCGTCTGGACGGTGATAGTGGTGTGAGTTACAATCTCATCTCTATCAATTAGCATTCCGTAGTCATTAAAAGGATCGTTACCTATATAACCCACTGCACAAATCGGACATAGTAATTTAAAATAAGTTGCGGAATTGACAAACCTTTTATCATTAGGATTGTATGTGTGTAACGTTTTACTAAGAAAACATTTTTGATACAAACTACTTTATTCATTTGTGTATTAAACTCAAACGTGCCATAAGTAATTGCATATGTATAAGGATTCGAATGATTTTATAACGTCGTAGTACAGTGTTTGTCCGTCCTGCAGAAATGTGTATTTTTATCTCACTTTTGGTAAATTTTTTATAAAATTTTCATACATAAAGTTGTTACGACATTCCAAGACTAGCTTGTACTGACTCAGTTTCCTTATGCATGCTGAAGTGATCAATGCTTTTTACAGTCCACTCAACAGATTACGACTGTTAAACTGTACAGCTGCTTTTTGTATCATGAGGGTTTAAATTATCATTCAGATCATGGTGCATGAATGTCAGTCTCCTTGTTGAAATCATTTGTTTTTTAAAAATCGTCTGCTAGAAAAATTTTCTGAAATATGAAACGTGATAAGGATGGTTGAAATACTTTTTTTCTATATCCCACAATGAACATTACATATTTTATATCTATATCTGTTTGCCGTCCACTTCTGCCTTGATCAGTCTCAACAGTTTTTTTGTCTGTCTGCGTTGCGTCCATGGTTTTAAACAACCTAGGCGGATACTACCCAGTGTGGTTACATATCTTTGTGACCAGATCGGTGCTTTGTTAACGCTTGTTTAGTCAATTAATAACTTTTTGAGATTTCGCTGCACTGGTCTATCTCGAAACGTACACTCAGAATAAAATTACCAGAATATAATAAACAGGATTAATTTTTTTGTATATTACCAACTTTAAAAATAGTTTTTGAATACCTAAACTCTTCGTGTCTACTTAGTTTTGCTATTTAATTTTGTTAAAGGATGGTGCTGCAAGTCGTTCACTGCCATTATGTTTCTGTACATTTCCAGTAAACTGAAGCCATCTCTGTTAGATTTCTAACCGGACTCCACTCTAGTCTTATGTTCCCGATACATTCACGAAAATGAACCTGGGATAAGTGACGAAGGCTACATATGGCTAAAACGGTTGCGCTGACAATGAAGTGTTGTCAACTAAAGGTAAAGTTAGCGGGAAAATAAAAGGTTGACACTTCCACATAAAGCTGTCAATCGTGTTTGAAATCTCTATAAAGTCTGCTAGTGGATCCGCATGCTACCTGTATTTAATTTTATAATATGACCAAAAAGTTCAGGATATCGTAATCGACCGTTTGGAATCCCTTATTTTTAATTTTCTCTGTAGATACTCAATAAACCATGTACACGCCAAGGTAATATCAGACTGTGCTTGGTACTGGTGGGTTAGCAGAAGTCATTCAGTTGTATACGCTTTCACAAGTTATTTGACTTGGTAAACATAATATCTCTTACTGTTTCATTTGGCGCTGATACGAATCTTCACTCTTCAGTTAACCTTGTTCCTTGTGTATTTCTACAAAACTATTATTGAGGTGCGAGTGAACCACTTTATTTCGTAGAACGTCGGTAGTTGTTAGGATGCCGACACGATTTATTTTAATACAAGATTTTATGACCTGATGGAATGGAAGATGTATCCAAACCAAGTATTTGACATTTGAAGATTTACACGATGAGATTGTAATACCGAATGTATTTTGATAGAGCAAGTAATCCAGATGAATCGATCAAGTAAAAAGGAAATGACTATTCGCTTTCTTTTAACTTGTTCAAACTACATGTCGACTGTTCAAGTGTGAGAAAGTATTGAAATTATTATTGTGTTTGGAAGCAGATTGAGTTAAAAATGTATAAATTAAATAAGGTGCCCTATGTAATGTGTCTAATTCAAATAGGAACAATAAGTTAACTTGTGTTTCATTTAAGTGATGACTGTTATGGGTTTTTGCACATTTTCAGCAAACAGAATGTCTGTTGTTCGTATAAATATGTATATCTCATCTTAACGAGTACGCTGTTAGATATGTCCGAACTTCATCATTGGCACTCTTGTCATAAACTGGACTAAAAGGCGACCGTTTTACTTTTGAATACATTAATGTATAGATATAAATACGTGTACTGAGGTGAATTCACAAGTGTATTCCGGAATGGTCTGTAGTTTTATGTCAACTTCACATTAGTAGCTGATGTCAATATGTTCTAATTGTATCCATCACTGCATTGCTGTTGGTAATCAACCGTTCATAAAGTGTGCTCCTGATTTGTCCGTTACCGGCTTCGGTAATTCATAAAATCCATTAGTTAAATAGTGCATCTATATTTAATATCACACAGTCTGGATCTAACAGGGTGGTTTCTTACTGGAATTTCCGATGCCATCGTTATGTGATTTCTATAACTATTCAGCTGAAAGAATTATGTGTATGGGGCGTGTAACTTTAGTCCATTTGCACATCATCCTTTTGTTTTTCGATATTTTTAAAAATCCAATATGAGGTGTGGATTTTTAAAGTATAGTGTAGAATTTCGTAGTACACCGAAAATGTTTAGCAATATTTGCTACTTGGTTTATAAATGTAACTAATTAATCCACGATTTTAGTGAAAGGTTGGACTCGAATAAATTGATAAGTGAAGCGGATGCTAAATTTTAGCTGTATCAGTAGTATTTATTAATTTTAGTCAATGTAATCTATAACTTTGCTAATGTATTCTATCTGGAGTTGACAGTAAAACAATTAAATAGGTTCAAAATGAAATGTTTTATTATCAATATCGAACTGTTAATCTTTATTTGTCATGATTGCTACATAAATTTAAAAGCTTATTGCACTGTTTAACTACCATTTATAATATACAAACTTCTGAAGTTGACTTGCACTTCGCAAATCATGTTTACATTATATGAATCACTGATTATTCAAGATGTCTAGAATGTTTATGGTAATATTTAGTAACCTAGCAATAACTTGTGATGTGAAATGTATTGACTTCATTAGTAAGTATGTAGGATATGTATAGGTTGTCAGAATGGATAGATATCTTAATGTATTGAATAAAAACTTAAGTCTTTAGAATTCTCGCACTCTCTTGAAGGTTTTCTCGGTCTAAATTTGAGACATTCTCCAATTCACTCTTATTTTTAATTGTGTTGCTTATGTGATAGTGAATGCCAAGATAGAGTGGTCGAGGCATGAACTTTATCGTGTCATAACTCTGGCGTCTGTTTCAGTTTAATTTGTAGTTGGTTTGAACTTATTAATTCTCGCGGTTAAATTATTTAGCCTACATTTCGTTTCAAGATAAGCACACACTTGGATTTTGTGTTTATAAAAAGTTTAACTTTGGTGTCCATTTAGTTTTTATACTGCTAATCGTTTTTTGTTTAAAATACTCCCAGCTGAAAAAATGAAGTGAAGTATTTCACAATGAGGAAAATACTTTATTCTATAAACCGGGATTTCGAAAAATTAACATTCTCGCAGAATAGTGAAAAATTTAAAACGGTCTAATTTTTTAAATACTAATAGCGTATAAAATATTAAGACCGCAGGAAGTCAACTATTTAAAAAAACCTTTTCATTCAGTTAACCACTTTCGTCAGTTGTGTATTTAGCTATAATCAAAAAACATTTCCCATATATGAACGAACATCTGATAATGAGGTGAAATGTTGTTTGTCACGGTCATTAAAAATAGCACTTTGTTAAATCATCTTATCTTTTCTTACAAAGAAGTCTTTGATAAATCACTTGGAACGAACGATAACCTTGTCCTCAATTGTAACAGATTGAAAAAGTTCTACTAGACATGCCACGATCAATAACATCAACCAATAGAGCAGTGTCTGGTATTTTTTATGAAGGTCTCAATACTTCACAAATTGACTTAGTTCAAAATGTTGGCCACTCAGTGGTTGATTAGTTCTACGTCATGACAAGTCTTTAAGGTTCGCACTCCTGTCATCTGTTCTACTTAGATAAAAATAGCCGTTGTTCGCTACTCCGTAGCTTTCAATTTTTTCTCATCTATTTCATTTCGTGATAAGAATCAGCTTCAGACTATACAAAGTCTCCACAGAAACAGTTAAAAAAAAACAGGAAAATGAACATGACAGTCTTAAAGAATAACGAAACCAACCTAATGTATATTAAGTGAGGTGCGTTTTTTCGTTAGTTTTTTAAACAAATTTTTTGCTAGCACTTTTAGTTAAAAAGACATTGAACTATATTATATTTTGATGAAGAAATCTGAAGTGATAATTTACACTTCATTGTAAAAAATATTAAATCGAAAATCAATTAACAATACCATTGAAATCTGCTTGCATTGTAAATTTAATTTTTAATGTGAATAAAAATGATATTAACTTCGCTGTTCAACAGATTTTACCTCATAATCTATTGTTGGAAAGAAACCAAATGTTTATGCAATAGGATTACTTAACCGACGAATTTAAATAGTGGTTATTCTAGAATCGTACTCTTTAACTTTATTTCTAACAATCATCTTTGTTAACTGAACTTATACACAAATCCAGATCAATAAATTCAGAAAAATATATCAATATTTGTATCATGCAGTTTATCTCAATAGATACAATAACCGG